CACCTCCCCCGGCTCACGGCGGCATCGCTCTCCCTTGCCATGGACGAGCACGGCCCCTGGCTCTGGGCCCTCCATAGATGCACGATGTTGGCAGGTACGCCCTGGCTACAGCTTAGCGCAGGAGATGAATCACTGCCCACAGAACTGAAGGAGGCCAAGGAGGCTCCTGTTGCTGCTCCACCGGAGCATGATACCCAGTCGGTCACGTCCTTGCCGATCGTCCTTGTCTCCGCCAACGTTCAAACCATTAAAGATGACAAGAGGCACTTCTTCTCCGCTGCGGCAGGTGGACAGCGCAGAGCCTTTCTTGTTCGCCAAGCTGATTCGCTGGGACTTGATGTCCTCTGCCTGCAAGAATGCCGTAGCAACCCGGGACGGTACTCCTCCGGGCCCTTTCTCACATGGCGGAGCGGCCATGAAAAGGGACAGTACGGAGTGGAGGTCTGGTTTCGCCGCACGTGGCAAGGACACCACCTTCAGCTGCAGGACTGGAGGATTTTGTCAGCCTCACCGCGCTGGCTGCTGGTTCGCTGTCTCAGACCAGATGTCCCGCTGGCCATTCTCTCAGCACACGCGCCGCATGCTGAGCGGCCCGAACAGGAAATCCATCAATTTTGGGCAGCGATTCGGCACGCGCTGCACCCGCTGCCACCTCATACCATCCTGATCATGGGTATTGATGCCAATGCGGACTTCACTGCACCAGACGCAGAGCATCGGCTCATAGGGGATCTTACCGACAGCCGGCCGCCTAGAGAGGGTGATCTAGAGCTACTGTCATTTGTGCAAGATCACCACTTGGAGGCCCCTGCTACATGGAGTTCCCTTCACCAGGGACCCACCTGGACGTGGCAGCATTCCTCTGGGAAACAGCGCAGGCACGATCACATTCTGGTTGCTGCTGGCCACATCACAGTGGACGAGTCAAAGTGCCTCCCTGAGTTTGACATCGTCAACAGCACTCTGGACCACGTTCCGGTTGCCTGTACTGCGCGATTACGGGGTTGTAAACAGTTTACTAAGACCCCGGTTTCCCTGGCACCACCTGAGGCGACTGCCACGCACATTGCCCCAGAGGTTTGGGCAGGCTTCAAGTACCCAGGCGGTCCACATAGGGCCACCTTGGCCCTCACCTCCCGATATCACCGCCTGGCCAGCCGGCATCGGCAAGCTAGTGGCATCATCCCGCGGCAACCGTACATTTCTGACGAGGCGGTTCAGGTCCTCACAGCGCTGAAAGCCGATCGCAAGATCCTTCGTCAACAGGCTCGGACTTGCACCCTCAATCAGCTCCACTTGGTCTTCAAGGCCTGGGCGGCCCGCTCTGCCCCTATCGAGCACATCCGCGTCGGCATTCGGATCGGACACCGGGCATATGCAAGGACCTGGCTCCGAGTCCTTCGGGCGCGCGAGCATGCACACTTCTTGGCGAGAAGGGACAAGGCAGAGCATTTCCGCAAACTGACTGCCACGGCGACCGAGTTCTGGCTCGATACAGGCCGGGCGATGGAAGCCACTCATCGGCTCAAATGGGCCTCCAGGAAGGCCGCAGAGCGGCGCAAGGTTTTTGCAGCAGGAGGCCACGATATTGATGCAGACCTGCTACTCCAATTCCAGCGCCAGGAGGCCGGCAGTCGAGTCACGAAACAAGGGCTTCTCGCCGCCTTCCGGGCCTCCGAGTCCCGCCCACGTGCGCCATGCCCTGCTGCTCTGCCGTCCCTCCTTCAGGTTGAACACCAATGTCGACGCCAAAAGCTCCACAAAGCACCCGGACCGGACGGGTTGCGAAACGGGCTTTGGCGCACGCAACCTGTGGAGGCAGCCCAGTGGCTTTGGAGCCTCTGCGCGGACATTGCCGGTCAGGGCCGGGAGCCGCTTCATTTTAAAGCTGCTATCGTATGCGCCCTGCACAAAAAGGGACCTGCCAGCGTCCCAGCCAACTACCGATCTATCGCGCTTCTCAACGGCATTGCCAAGGTCTGGCACGGACAGGTCCGGGATTCCTTAGGTCAGGAAGTACTTGCTGCCTATCACCCTCTCCAGCTGGGAGGGCGTCGAGGAGTACACACAGGCTTTGCGGTGTCTGTGTTCAGGTCTCTGACGGCCCTCAGCGACTATGCTAACCGCTCTTGGTTCGCTCTGTTCTTGGATGTTCAAGCGGCGTATTATGAAGCTGATCGGGACCTCCTCTTTGGCTGTCACGTTGCGGATGGCCGACAACTCCGCGCGACCTCCCTCGCATCCGGTCTCCTTCGAGATGGGGTCCTGCGGAGACGGGGCATGGCGGAGGAAGCGGTGTGTCTGCTCGAAGATTGCGTACGGTGCTCGCACTGGACTCTCGCGGGGCACGATGCCATCATCCTGGCTGGACGTGGCAGCAGGCCAGGAGACGGACTGGCAGATGTCCTTTTCGGAGCGATATTCGCTCAGATCCTGGACGATGTTGAACAGCAGCTTGCTGCACAAGGCATCGGGCACCACTCGGCGGTCGAAGCAGTTGGGGGCGGTTGCCGCCCATTCCAGGTCGCTTGGGCCGACGATCTCTCGGTGCTTACTGATGCCGACTCGGCTGAGGAGCTCGAAGCCACTGTTCCTGTTGTCACACGCACCATCGTCGACACTGCCGAATCCTATCGTCTCCGTGTCAACTTGGGTGTTGGCAAGTCTGAAGGTCTGCTGCTCCTGCGAGGTCCAGGGGCACGCGAAGCTCGGGGCAGGCTTTTCTTGCCCCAGTCGCAGGTGACGTTTGCACCTGGGCGGACCCTGCGCATTGTGGCTGAGTACAAATACTTGGGGGTGCCACAGACAGCGCCGGACAATGGCAGGAGAGACGCTGAACCCTCCGTTCAACGGGGACAAGCTGCTTGGGCCCAGGCCCACGGACTTATGCGTTCCCCGACCTTGCCTTTTGCCGTTAAACTTGGGTGGTTCACCGGTCGGGTGCTGCCCGCTGCCTACTCCAGCCTTTCGACTGCCCTTGTGACTTCAGGGCGGGTTTGGTCGATCTATCAGGGCTTTTTCGACCGCTGCCAACGGGCCCTGGTCTCCTCGTGGCAGGTCTCCCATCACCTCACCCGCGAAGCCTTGGACATTTTGGTCCAAGCGACGACACCCGCTGTTGCTGTGGTAGTTGCCAGAGCACGCCTAACTGTGCAGATTGCCACCTCAGCACCCCCGGCCGTCCTTGACCTGGTCGAGGCCTGTTGCGAACGGGATCTCCCCTGGACTAACCTCCTGCGAGACTCTCTCACCCAAGTTGGTCGGTTGTCGGGTCTTACTGAAGCCCAGCTCCAGGACAGTCCCATGCGTGTTGCGCGTGCTCACTGCCGGCTCCTTCGGGGAGCTTGCAAACGCATGGGCCGCTACGGCTCTTGCCTGATGGCCTTCCAGCGGGTCTGGCGGACCAGGGCCACCCACACCTCCACTGGCACCATCGGTACCCCACAGCCTGTCTCTTGCCCTGAGTGCGGTTGGACCGGACGGTCACAACAGGCGCTTGCGGCCCACCGCCACCGCAAGCATGGGATCCTGGCCCGGGCTGCGGCCCTATGTGATGGCACGACTTGCAGTTGGTGCTTGCGGGACTTCCATTCGTCAGACCGCCTCAAGTACCACATCTCCACTACCCCTGCCTGCCGCTTGTCCTTGGAGATCTCTGTCGGACCGCATCACACCTACGGCTCCGGGTCCAAGCGTCGGGGCCCACAACAACATCGACGGCTACCGCCCTTGCGTATCAGTGGCCCCATCAACGCCACGCCTGCAGAGCGCGAGGCAGCCACAAACGGCCAACCATGGGCGCCAGATGCCCTGCAACAGGAGTGGGACCAGTTACTCAGCCAGTCGCTTGGTGAGGGGCTCGCCGACCCGCCAAGCGATCAAGCCTGCCCTCAGCCGACAAGGCCCGCTCCTGTCACCGCTCCCTCGGCCACCCCTGCCCCTGTCCTTCTGTCCTTCACTTTGGTTGTGGACTCGAGCCTGCCCTCGCCATGGTGGCCAGGTTTGCACCGGCAGCCTGCTTGCTGGCGGTTTCCGCCAGTGTGGAATCAACTGGCTGCCTTCTGGAATACCCTCGCCACCTCCGAGTGGGCTGGGCCACGTCTGCTCTCTCAATTCCGAGCTGCGACTCGGTTGCTCGACAACGGCGCCGACGTCCCGGCATTCTGCCCGTCCACGGGCAGCCCCTCTGCCTCCGGCTCCGAGCTTTTGCTCCGTCACACCTTGTCCCTCCTTCATCTGGGCAAGTTTGTTGGCCTGGGCCACTGTTTGTGCTCTGAGCAGCCACCTGGGCTGCAGCTTCGTTCTGTGCTTCTGCACCTTTGCCCGAATGCTGCTTGGCTGCTCCTGGCCTCTCAGCAGCGGCCGGCGTGGATTTTCGCCCCCCTTGGTTCTTCTGTGTCGAGGCTGGATTTTGCTCTGCACTCTCCTTCCGTCAGGTTGGCGCTTGCAGCGCCGCACCAGCTTTCCGCGCCGTCCTGAGGGACGCGGCACGTTTCTGATGAACGTCCCGCGTCTTCCTCACTAGTGTTTCAAGTTTTCGTGTTTCAAATTTGAATTGGCTGTAGCTTGCTACTTTTGGCCTGCATGGACCGCGCCGGACCGTCCGCATGCGAGAGAGAGAGAGAGTTTAGGAGTTCGAAGTCTTGAGGCTTGGTGGTTGGTGCTGAGGGGTATGCTTTGGGTCTGCATTCGGGTTGAGGGCTTGAGCTTTGGAGTTTAGGGACCTGCCGGTGACCTACCTGGCTTTCTTGTGGCGAAAAGGTGGGAGCCTATACTGAGTGCCTTCACTCTCATACTTTATGAAGCCCTGCCCCTCCGAGCTGCAGTTCCTCAGAATGCTCTTTGCATCCCTCGGAGAGCTTCCGGAAAGGATCTATCCGGCTTCTTGGCTGCTCGAGCAAACCCGCGGCCTAAAACCCTAAACCGCCGCTCACTACACCCCAAAGCCTACACTTCTTAACCCAAACCCCTAAAACCTAGTGTCCCCCAGATGCAGTCAGGTCTCGAACTTCTTGGGCTACGATGCCTTGGGCGATTATTTCCCTTCGCCGAGCTGGCACTTGTTTGATCCAAAGGATCACGATTCCGGGGTTTACAGTGTAGAGGTTCAGGTTGAGGGATGGCTTTAGGGTTTAGGTTTCGGGGTTGGTTTAGCGTTCGGGCTTGGGGCGGCGTAGGGTTTGGGGTTGTGGCGTGGATCATGATGAACACGTCAACTTCCATAGTGTATTGCAAACGCCTCAAAGTTAGCTAGCATGCTCGCTGCGACAGCCACGCCGTGGACCACGAGCTTTTCCACTGATGTTACTGGCGGTGTTGCAAGATTACGGGTACCTAAAGCTTTTCAGTGTTTCTTCAGTTGTTAGCTGCACTTGCTGCTACGTGATGGCGGTGGTAGTGATGATGGCGACACCCACGCGCTATCTACAAGTATCCTGAAGAGGAATCCGCAATGTTACATTCACGGGGCTTCCTGAAGGAGGCTTATGTACACTCATCGTATACATCATACTCGCAGGAGTCCTTTCTTTGGGTGGAGTCAGTTTGAGCGTCATTCGATGACCTCTTTCCATGGTTTTGTCACACCCCTCCTCGTCTGACCCTAACCTCAAACCCTACACCCTGAACCTTGACTTGGGACAGAACTTTTCCCTGCTGTGTAGTAGGGGTTGGTGATGCTGGGGTGGCCGGCAGCAGGAAAGCCGAGCGCACCGGAGGGAGCCGATGTGGGTCTCCGGGTCAAGCACTACTCTAAACCCTGTAATCCGAAGGTTCCCTTGGAACAGTATTGTCTCTTGCATCATATGATCCTAAAGCCCCAAAAACCCTAAGATCTTAGCCTTAGCCCCAAGCCTTCAGCGGCAGGTACAGCATGACGCCTAACCCGGAGTGCGGCAACCGACACTGCAGGCTCGGAGTTCAAGTTTTGGAGGCCCCAAGCCTGCAGGATTTCGAGCTTGGGGTTTATGCTAGGGCCTGGGTGGTTTTGAGGATGGTGAATGGTGGCGTTTCTGTTTAGCGATTCGCAACGGCGGCTGAGTGTTGAGGCTCCGGCGGTGTAGGAATCTTATGGCACAGGCATGTGAGGGGTTCTAGGACACTCGGGCTGCTTGAAGCAAAACGGCTGGGCAGTTCCCTGACCCAAGTAATTGAGTAAGGATTCTTAATGCAAGTGCTGGATGCGCCCCCCGGCGTTTTAAGGCGGCTGCACAAGAAAACAGGGGACCCAACGCATTAACGCGGCAAGATCCTTCTTCCGAAGGACCCCACACCCTCCAAAAAAGCAAGGCAGCAGTAACAGCAGCAACCCTAACAGTAGCACTACCAGCAGCAGCAACAGCAGTAGGAAGAAATACGAGTTAATGGTAATAACTAACTAACAACAGTCGCAACAACTAGTTAGTCAGGGTGGTAGTCGTGATACGTCCTTATTAAACATGACCATGTTATTCAGAGCTGCATTCACAGCCATACTTGTACTGATAATGAACATGGTCATGCCAATACTCAACACCGCAGTCGTAATCGTAATCATGCGGTTAATCGCAACGGCAGTAAGCGGAACAAAGAAACACAATGCAAAATGCTACCAACCATAAAGCGCTAAGGCTGCGGCAGCAGGAGTGGGCGGAGCACCCCGAGGAGAGCGGGTGGGCTTTGAGTCTGTGGACTTCGCCGAAACTTGTCAAGTCACAGAAACTAAAAATGCTGGCATGCTGTAGGCCTTTCTACGATCTTATAAGGGATTAACATGCAATGGTACACATTACAGTCCGAACAGAGTCCTACGAAATTCATGTACCATTTGCTGCGAGCGTTGCTAGCTGGAGATAGGACTCCTGCAGGTGCCAGTATGAGTAGCAACAATCAGCGTGAAAGGCAAAGGCCAGAGCCAGAGGCCAGCCGCAGCACACGAGAGAGCGGCCGGGCAGGAGATGATGCGGAAGTACGGCCTCCAAGAGGACGCGGTGTTGCATGGTTTCTTACATACGCTTTAATGGTCCCTCCCCTGTATTTAGGTAATTTAGGGTCCCTATCTGCACGATCCTGTTTGTCTTGAGGGTGCATTGCTTTCCGGGGCTTCCGTCTACGCAACAGATCCCGTTGACATGATTTCGCATGCCCCTCTCCTTTTTGCTGTCCAGTCACGGACACTCCTAAGATCCTGAGCCCCAGCAATGTGTGAAACTTTTCCATACTGGTACTATAATAGAAAAATATACTATAGTAACAATATACTATACTATTTTACTACAGTAGTATTATAATATTATACTGCGATAGATGCCTGAAGGCCGAAGACCGGGGGGTACTTCGGCGCCGAGTGCATTGCTCCTTGTTGATGTGAGCGGCTCTCTCCGCCGATCGCCCCAAGAACGAGCCCCCTTCCAACACCGTGCTTAGGTCATACGCCCTAAGCTGCCCGTAGTTATGGGACAGCCATACCCTGGACGTTCACCCCGTGGCCCTCAGTGGGTGGTTGCAAGGAAGGTCGGAACATCCAACATCCACCCAAAATGCAAAGTGCCTCCGGGTGCAGACTGCAGGAGGGGTTGCGCAGCCCTCTCGATTCGCCGTACATCCAACTCCCTAAATCGTAAGACCTCAATGATCAGCCCTGAAGAGAGAAAGCATGCGCGCGGCCGCTCATGTGGGGGACGAGACGAGTTCATGACTTCGCACTATATTCACCACTAGTCGCTCCAGTCTTCGAAGTCGTCGTCGTCGGCAGTCGCAGTTGTGGTCGTAGAGGTAGTGGCGAGGAAGAGGAGGAGGAGAAGTTGCAGTAGTGGTTTGCTGTTCGAAGGGTCATCTTCAGTTCGTATCATGTCACAGCGAGAGGAGGCTGAGAAGAAGGACGACTCCAACGCCGAGGATCTGGGGGTTCAAAGTGGTCATGGAGTTCCTTTCGGGCGTTAGGGCTTCTTGCTTTTATTTGACTTCATAGGGATTTGGGGTTTTATGGATTCGGCTTTGATGAGTGCAGGGGGCATTGAGTTTCACTCTCTGACTCAGTAAACGCAAACCCAGGTCCTAACCTGTGGCATCGATTGAGGGGTCAGAAGGGCTGCAGGCCACGATAAACACATTATTCCAAAACCATTGACGTGTGTTGTTTCATGCGCGCTGCATGAGCCCTGTCTCTGCGAAGCCCTTTTCTGCAATCCAGGGGCCTTTGCGCATACTTCGAACTGTACAGGGAATACAGGGGGATGCATATACTAATCAATCTTTCGGGAAAGCAGGTGCTGCCCTATGCACTGCAGTTATCATCGGTCGCGAGCCCTAAACGTGAAAGCGCTAATACCTAAACTCGGAAGCACAGAAGCCCTGGAGCTCGTCGTAGGCCCCAGAAAACCCGAAGCTTTAGCGGTTCAGTTGCACCCGGACAACGAGTGGGGCATCGTCATCGAGGACTCCGATGGCTGTGCGGCAGCTGCCTCGGCTTCTTATCGTCTTTCGGCTTTAGCGTTTCGCCAGGGTTTGGGATATGATTTTGTCCAGGGTTTAAGTTCCGGAGTCCCGGGCGCAGGAACCCTGAACTTCCTGAACCCTGAGCCAACACCCGAAAAGCACCAGGAGCAGAAGCTCCTCTGACCAAAGCCAAGCACTAAGTCCATCCTTAAGACCATGGACCTAAGCACCACAGCAGAACGCATAACGGCGTACTTTGAGTGGGTAGGGAACAGGGCTTGTCCGAGCAGCCCCAGTGGTTGAAGAAGCAAGGACAACAGAAAGCCAGGCAACCAGTTTTCAACAGCGAGTCGTTCTTGAACCGTTGATGCTTCCCAGAACACTTCCTCCTGTTGAACCTTTAGCCCGAAAGCCCGAACCCCAGAGCCAATGAACGCTCCAAACTTCAGAGCTTAAGCCCAAGCTCTGAACCTGAAACAGCACGCTCAACAAGTTTCCCCTCATTACGAAGCCAACTCCGAAGCATTAAAGGCCCCCGAAGAGGAGGAGGAGAAGGAGGAAGTTGTGGACACCAAGGCCATGTGGGACTCCCGACGTTTTAGGAATGTGAATTTAGAGCTTCGGGCTTCAGTGGCTTGCTGCCGTAAGCTCTGCATCCGAAACAGAAAGCCCGAAACCGCAATCCTCAAGCCCTAAAAAGGTTTCGACTGGGTGGCCCGGAACTAGCAAGCCGTGCCCTGAAGACCCAAAGCCCTAAGCCCTGAATGCTTGAACATACACCCCTAAACCCAGATCCCTACGCCCTTAAACCGCAAGCCCTTTAAACCTTCAGCCTTCAAACTCAAGCCCCTAAGCTTGACGCGCTTACAAGACAGCTCACTCACGAGCAGCAGGGCACCTGTCTGCACCTTGCCACCCCCCCCAACTCCTAAGCCGTAACCGTTCGGGGCTCAATGAACCGTCAGAATCTCGCATCCCAAGCACAAAAGCCGGAAACCATCCTCGAGCTCAAGACTTATATCGAGAACAAAAAAGAGAGACAGACAGAGAGAGAGAGAGAGAGACCCTTGATAAATTTGTGGGGTTTTACATCGGGGCAGGGTGCTAGTGTACATTTTCATATGATATGTAGAGAGACGGATATTTGTCAAACATTTGGGTGCTAGAGACATGCTAGGGCGTTGTGAGCAGGAATTCAGGCTCTGTGTTGAAACACTTCTTTTGACACGGTTTAGGGCTGTAAGGCCTACAGTCAGTCATGTAAGCCCTAGGCTGTAAGCCCTGAACAGCCTGAAGCCTTAAAGGCAAACCCTAAAGTCCTAACCCTATTCACGGCTCAGCGGCGTTCTCCAAAGCCAGGGAGCTTCTGTAGCGGAGCTGATGGCCTCACTGAAAGCTCTGCAGCACCCGGGCCTACAGAAACAGAAACAGCTTCAGCGGTTTCGGGCTTAGGGTCTTTGAACAAAGTGGGTGTCAGCGTGCTTGTTGTTTTTGGGAGGGAGGGGGGGGGGGCGGGCGGGTCGTGTTTCAAGGGGTCTACCGGTTGGGGTTTTTGGCTTTTGGTGTTCCGAGTCTTGGGGTGAATGGCCTGAGCGTTCAGGGGTTTGGCAGTTTTGGGATTCACGGTCCTGGATTTTGGGCGGGTTCAGGGTTTACGGCATTCACGATCAGCATGACAAATAAAGAAGCACTCGTAATGATGATGAGTTCTCGGCCGGGAAGATGTTGAGGACTGCCGAGGTTCCTTAGTTATCACGGGATTAAGGGCCACTTTTCAACACAGGCCTTTGCGTGTCAGATGTCAGGCAGCGGACAAGGAAAGCTAAACCATGAAGGCCTAGAAGCCCCAAACCCCAAGCCATAGACCCCTGACATCCTCAAACCGCCTGACCCCCCTAACCCGAAAGAGCGCTATCTTCTAGCTTGTGAATCAGAACTTGATGTATTATGTACTTCGTGCGTATATATATATATATATAAATATATGCATACAGAGAGAGAGAGAGAGAGAGAGAGAGAGAGAGAGAGAGAGAGAGAGAGAGAGAGAGAGAGAGAGAGAGAGAGAGAGAGAGAGAGAGAGAGAGAGAGAGAGAGAGAGAGAGAGAGAGAGAGAGAGTGTGTGTGTGTGTGTGTATATATATATATTATATTCATATGTTAAGCGTCCATCAGCCCCAGAAGTCCAACCAAGGTGACGTCCAAAATGCTCTGAGCGGGCTTGTGTGGATTCAGCCCGGGGGTGTCCTTCCCAAATGCCTAGGGTTGGGGTCTTAGTAACTAGAGTAGAAATTATGGGTATATTCTAGAATGTAGTGGCCTCAGTTCTCAGGGTAAGGTAATTATTTGCGTATATTGCAAATATAAATATATATCTCGCATTTCTCGCATTTGGGGCTTAGACTCCATGTTGGTTGCAGCCCTTTGGCATGCACTTAATTAAGTTGCTTCGTGCGGACCAGTAATCTGACTGTCACCAGTGTGGACTCGCACTGGGAGACGGGATTGGGCCAGCGAAGGAAAAGCTGTCCCGCTCCTTCGACAAAATCAAAACGATGGCACATAGACGATGCTTGAACATGCACGGCAAGCGAGTGGTGCTTCGTATTCCGTTATCGGCGATCAAAGCACCAAACATGATACGATCCACATATCGGACCTTAAGAGGTGCAGGATCTTCCTCATGGGTATCAGATGAGGCCATTCCTACACAATTACAATACCCAGGATGTCTAACACCTTCATCGAGGTGATATCGGGACATCAAACTCAGCCTAGCATGAAGGCCATAGGACCTCCGCACGCAAATCTAAAGCGCCTCAGCATCACTCATTGCTAAGTCAGGATGGTGGAGTCAGCGTCATCAGATCGAAGGCCTGACGAGCCTCTGTTCTGCTTGATGGCGCGCTGCCGAAAAGCCAACATCTTCATGCAGCCAGCCGCAAATTCCTTTACCGACGTATGCGAGCGTGTCCTCCAAATTTGTGGTGATCCAGATGCCCTCGCCTGACGAGCCTCTGCTCTGCTTGATGCCGCGCAGCTGAAAAGCGGGTGTCTTCTTGAAGCCAGCCGCCGCGGTGAAGTGCGCGAGCGTGTCCTCCAAACCATCTCCACACCTATGTTCAACATGGCCACCTTGCACAGCATGTCCTTCGAGCCCATAACACCATCACATCGGGTGAAGTGTATGAGCGGCCAGGTTGCCGCTTGGTGGTCCAAATGCCCTCGCCTGACGAGCCTCTGCTCTGCTTGATGCCATGTAGCTGGAAAGCCGGTGTCTTCTTGAAGCCAGTCGCAGACTCCTTTATGGTGAACGGTGCGAGCGTGTCCGCCCAACCCGTGTTCAATATGGCCACTCTGCACAGCATGTCCTTCGAACCCATAAACACCGACACAAAAAGGTGAAGGGCATGAGCTGCCACGTTGCCGCTTGGTGATCCACTCTCCCTCGCGTGACAAGCCTCTGTTCTGCTTGATGCCGCGCAGCTGAAAAGCCGGCTTCTTCTTGAAGCCAGTCGCAAACTCATCTGCTGTGCAGTCTGTGAGCATGTCCTCCGAACGAATGCTCAACAAAGTCTCCTTACGCAGTGTGTCTTTTGCGTCCATGATCGCCATCATGTCGGGTGCGGGCAAAACCTGAATGCCCAGCTTGTGCATGGCACACTTGCCGCCATGCACTGCTTGCCCGTAGCCGGCAGACGCACCCATGGCGGGTGCTGGGGCCTACAATATTCCTGCCCTGCGCAGGCGATTTGGGCCCTATAAATATATATATATATATATATATATATCTTTTGGGTGACTAGAGGAATAATATTTACTCTTTATGAGGAAGGTCGCAGTGCAGCGAAGTCTGCCCTCTACCCTAAACCCCAACTTCCCCTTGCATCTCTGCGTTTGGGCAATAATTGGGCATCTTACACCGCAGCCCCAAAGTTGGTTATGTCGGGCTCCGGGCATGAAGTGTCCTACACTTAGAGTTTAGGGCTTCGAAGCCCTCCTGAGCCCCGGTGTAGGGTTTAGAGTTTTCGGGCACAGGTGTCTACGTAACCAAAGGCCATAAATCCAGGCGAAGCACGAGCCTCTGACTTCGAGTTGGGCTTCCAGAGACCGGATCTTCTCCTGCGAGCTGCTTTTCCGTGAGATCTTCCCCATGCTGAGCAAGCCAGTAAGCCCAAATGCTCAAAGACCAGAGGCACTTCCAAACCGTAAACCCTACAGCTTCAAATCTTTTCGAGCCGTAAATTCCTACGAAGCCCTAAATCCCAGTTCCCTGGCTGAATCTCGCCTCAAGAGCGACAGCCAAAAGCCCCCAGATTCGGGCTTCATGGTTCTTACTTGCTCGCAAGATTAAACAGGAGCGAAAACAGGCAGAGAGTGTACTCTTCTCGGGTAGTGCAGCGGTGTCCGAGGTTTCAGTCCCCGTGCGGCTCGGGGTTCCGACTGAAGGCTTTTGTGTATGTCCTTGTCAAGGGTTTCGGCCCTTCGTGCTTCCTGTTGGGGGTCGCTTTGTCGTCCTTCCCAAACCGTGAGTCTTCCGACACGAAGTCGATGCAGCCGCACAATGACTATTTTCCCCCGCAAGGGGCGGCATGAGGGTGGACTGAGAGGCCGTTGCACCCTGAGCCACTCCTACGCCTGCAACTGAAGACCAGAAACCTTCAAGCTTTTGGACTTGAGCCGAGGGCCTAGCAAGCCCCATACTTCGAAGGGGTGGCACAGCGCTGCAAGATTGCTCAAGCAAAAGGCCACTAGTTCCTCGGGTTCGATACCGGGATTTAACACGTAAACCCTCAGACGCCTGACCAACCACCCCACTGCCTTTGTTCATCGAGATCCTACTTTCTACAAAGGCACTGAAACGAAGGACTCTAGAAGCATCTGTAAAACCATCTACATTTTAGAGTGTGGGGAGATGCTGACGGACACCACAGCGGCGCAGTGCTTGGCATCTCTCAGCTGCGGAGAGGCCCATCATCTCAGGGTGTCGGTAGCTGTGGTCTTAGCAGGGTTTACGGCTGAGGAGACGATGCCGTGCTATTTGAAAGGGTTCAGGCTGAGAGCCCAAGTCAAAGTTTAGCTTGAGATGATAGAAACTGGGCCATCACTACAATGACTACAACTCAAGCATGTCCGCAGATCCGTGGCAAGCCCTTGCCCTACTTCACGGCACGCTTTTCTGTTAAGCTGGGCCCCACAAAAACACAGCTGCCTACGGTAAATGACGGTAAACCCGAAACTCGTAGCTCAGAAGCAAGCTTCTGGATGACCTTAAAACTGCTCATCCGATGCAATCGATGCAGAAGAAAGTACATGCATGTCAACTGACAGGAATGAAGCGGCTTATATAGATAGTAACTACCGACTACCTATATAAGATGAACGAGGTCGCACTGAGGAAAGCGAATGAAGAAACGAACCCCACAGCAACGAAATGAAGCTGGATCCGGAGTTAGTTCGAGAAAAGCGTATCAAACCAGATGAGAACTAGTGGGGACCCCATAGAGCAAGCCAGTTACAAACCCAACTCCACAAGCATGGGTCGAGATTGGACAACCGGAGGGTCGGAGGACCGAGACAGAATTGGTTACTGTGCACCAACAAGGATATGGAAAAATGAAGTTTCCAATCCTCTGACTCAATATGTATGTTGAGGTGTGCAAATGCCAACAAAGTTTCGAGCAAGCAAGATATCGCAAATTTCAAGCCGCCCCTTGCAACCACGGCCTCACTTTTCTGCCTGAGTGGGCAAGGGGTTTTTGGCCCAGAACAGGGAGGACCCCGTATCAAGTTGTGGGGCGTGTTCTTTAGGGGTTGCGGGTTCAGACGCCGTCGGCATTAGGAAGCTCTAGTCAACACTCCCTGTAGTTCTGGATGGAATATCTTGATGTTCGGGCTTGTGGTAGCGCCCTAATTACAGAACAACTGGCGCTCAAAGGAAACCAAACCCCTTTCACCCTGCATCCGGAAACTCTTTCGACCGACACCATGGACCCCAGAGCCCAACGCCTCAAACCCAAAACCCAGAGACGCTTGACCGAAGCCTTACAGTAATATCAAAGGTCCTGCAGCCCGAAACCCTTGGCCCCGACACTGTGCAACATCCGACACCCCCTAAACTTGCAGCTTCAAAGCGCCCGTAAATCCTACAGAGTGTAGAAAAAGAAGCCCATGCAGTTAAAGCATGGAGCAGAGCCCAGCGAACGGCACACAAGACTCCCCAAAAAAGCCCTAAAAAACCCTAAACTCTGAGCCCTGTAGCCCCTCAGCCCAAAGACGTAAACCCTGGACCTTGAAACCCTCAAACCCCTCCTAAAGGCCTTGTAACTGCAGGTCGACTATAGCCAGGAGGTTTGCGTCCAGGGCACGGTGACTCGGCGTCTGAGGCCCAGAAGGCGAAAGACAGGGACCTTAGGGTTTTGGGCTTAGGGCTTGGGGTTTAGTTTTTGGGTTTAGGGGGTTTAGGGGTTAGGGTTTAGGGCTTAGGGCTTAGGCGTAGGGCTTTGGGTTTAGGGCTTAGGACTTAGGGCTTAGGGTTTAGGGTAGGGTTAGGGACCTTGGTCAATAGGATTCCTTTTCCTGGATTCTTCAGAAAATCAAAAGATGTCTCTAGGTTCAACACGTGGGTTTGCAGAGCAGGCTTTTATGAGGTTTCAGTATCCCAGAGGAACAGCATTGCTAGTTGTTCGGGCTTTTTGTCAGGAGTTTCGGGAGAATAAGGCCTTAGCACGGCTTGGGACTGTCGGGAATTACCGAATAGCCCGAGAGTGTAAACCCTCCTAACAAAAGATGAGCCCTAAGCCCTTGAGTCCATTGAGTACGCAAACCCTAAACCCTGATTATAGAATTTTTGTGGATCCCTTTCAGGAGCCCCTATCCTAGGTAAGGCCTTAAATCCACAGACCCCGAAAGAGAAACCTTCGATCTGAGGACCTAGGCCTCAAGATCTAAAAGCTCTAGGGCCCCCAAGAACGGACCTGTTTTGGGTTCCTTATGATGATTTCCTTACATAAGTCCTTTAACAGGCAGGTTATTTAGGATTCTGGTAAGACTTTTAAGTGTATAAGCCCTGGACCATGAACGTTGAAACCTTAGCCCTGTAGACCCTTACGTCCTAAGCCTCCAAGGACGACGCCACGAGGCAGCGACGCCTCCCGGACTGGTCAGGTCGGTAAGTTTCCGAGAGTGCTTGCATAAGGCCTACGTGGAGTTTCCCAGGTAGGGTTTCAGGTCTTCACAGTTGTAGAGGTTTAGGCTTGGGCATCAGCCTGCCCGCCCAGGTTCCTGATGGTGCAGCTGGGTGAGGTGCAGGCCCAGCGAGTTTAGGAGTCAGGGCTTCCTCGCGTGCAGCTGCAGCAGTCGCTTTCGGACAGTGGAGCTTTGGCAGAGGGCGCACACCCGGCGCTCGGCTGCCCCTCCAGACACCCTCAAACAGGCCTAAGGCAGGCCAAACTTGGCGCAGGTTCAGGTGGTTCTATCTGCGCCTACCGGGACCTTGAACTACGGCACAGGTGCCGCGTTCGTGTTCACGGGCTTCAGCACGCAAGGTTCCGGCCTGGCGATGTGGGATCTTCGTCGAGAAACTCCAAACCCTACTCTGCAGGTGCTGATCCCGATAGATCCTTTACTCCACTCGTTAATAAGTGAGAAAAAACAAAGACCGGAAGCCTGAAATCCTAAACCGCTTCATTCGAAACCCTAAGAAAAAGGCACCAAAGCCCCCCCGAAACGCTAAACCCCAAACTGCCCCAAACCCTAAACCCCTTGCTTCGTAAGCCCGAAACCCCTCCCGCGCTTTCTTCGAGGCCCCTTGCCAGCTTTGCATCTGCTCCCGGCGGGACTGGGCTCGACCGTTTGGTGTACGGGACACCCGGGCTGCGATCGCGAAGGATGCGGGCTCGGGGCTGAAACTGTACGGTCGGGGTTTGGGGTTTAGGGTTGGGGATTGGGGTTCAGGGCTGAGGGCTCAGATGGCCGAGGATTCATGGGGCAGGTTGCGAGCTTAGGGTTTTGAGTTGAAGGGACTGACGGCTGTCGTGTGTTTGCGGGTTCAGAGCTCATGGCTCGGGGTTTGCGATGGAGGCCCATCTAAGGCTGGCTGAGGTTGTCGGATTTCGGATTTGGGGTGTAGCATGACGTGTGCTTCTGTTTCGATTCTTAGGATCTGAGGTGTTGGTGTCGTCACGAAGATCGCGCGTTGCGAAGGAGTGCTAGAAAGCTCAACGGTTCGAGGCCGATTTTCTGAATCTTCGTGGCCTGCACGTACCAGGTCCCCATCTTTGCGAAGCAAGGTCTTAGGCTTCTGCTTTTCAAGACGACGTCTCTTGAAAGCGTTGCTTACAAAGGTACGAGAGAGAATTTGTAAGAGTCACTTCATCCGCAACGAAAGCACAATCTAGCACCTCCTGAACACTCCTCATAGTTAAAGGTATGTTTAAGCCTAAGGCGCATACTGTACAGAAGTAAGCGAACCCGTCCCTAAAGCACAGTTCTAGGTCCTTCGCCCTCAAGACCCTCAGCCGTAACCTGAAATCCAGACTCCTCGTCCTACAAGGCTCTATGCTCCGAAGCCACAGCTGCCGTCAGAGTAGAAGTTGTGCCAGAGGATCCCTGTCTCTCTACGCGCGGGAGCTGAAGCTTCTGAAGGTGCACTTACGGTTTCTTCGCAGTAACCCATGTTTTGATAATTTGACGTCGGTAGAGCTGGACTTCAATCCACTTGATACTGATTCCCCGAAGAGCTGCTGTTTATACGATCGGTGTTTGGGGGTTTCAATTTCGGAGTGATCTGGCAAGTACTCAAGCCAAAACGACGATAGCGGTGACTAATACTGAAAATGGCAGCGCTACTCTTGCTACTGCTGCTACTGCTACTGCTACTGCTACTCCTGCTGCTGCTGCTGCTGCTACTACTGCTGCTTCTCGAAGGTGCATGCCGACTCCAAGCAGATTTCCAACGTTCTGGACGCGCTCGCCGATGGCCTTGCGCCAGGCAGTGAGAAGTGGTTCGGAATCGCAACACGATGCTCGATGGTTCCGGAAAAATTGCCGAATCTCCAAGGTCCTCCTTGAAGCGATAGACATGGAGCCTCAAGATTTGTCGACTTCGTAAACCGACAACGTCATCAAGTTGATTATCAACTGCAGCATCAACAACAAAGAAGGACACAAATGACTCGTAACTCGTAGGGCGCCAAATCCCCGAACTCCGAAGCAGATACTCGAGCCTGAGCAAAACAGGCAGTGAAGTGGCTACTGCTCTGTGCTGCACGGAAGAGCGCCTCGCAGTGCCTCAAGCTCAAGCCCAAATGTCGAGCTCTTGTGGTTATGCTGCTTGGGAACTGGGGCTATGATTGCAGCTTTCGTTCCTCGAAAACCTCCTAAACAACCCGGACCAGGGATCTTATGGAGAATGTGGGGCCTTTTGCGGCATTTATCTCGCTGTCTCAGCCTTGCTTCAGGGTGAGGACTTCAGGGTTCTAGGGCCTTGGGTTTGTAATTGGGGATTATCCACACCCTGAGATCGATTCAGTCAGGAGCTTTAAGTCCAAGCCCAGACCGGTCAGACTCCTTTGCTTAACTGGCTCAATCTTTGTGTGACTTGATCTTTGTCTTTTATGCCGAAGTGGAACCGTGCACCCAACATCTTCAACGTGCTCATACTACAATGTTGATGCCTTTCCGGGTGTGTTGTAACCAGGCTTTCCATACTCTGTACTTGTACTTGTCACCGTCATCCGACTCCGAGAAAGTAGGCTGGCTTAGAAGAGCCCTGTTCACGGCCCCCACTTCTGGATGCCAAACCGGTTATACCCCTAAACCCAAGCCTTCAACCCTCAACCCTAAACCCAAACCCCGTATACCTCCAAACCCCAACGCCCAAAACGCCCAGGAACTTGTCCGACTTCGCACAGACGGCGCAGAAGCTGCGACCTACAGAAAGGACATTCAGGGCTCCATAAGTGGTTTAGGGCTTGTCAGTGGCTTATAGCGGTCCCATATATAGCTTCAGGTTCCAGGGTCTAGGGATTTACTGAGGGTTTAGGGTTCCGATGGTTTGGGTTGTGGGGCTCACGGTGTTAGCATTTATGGTTCAGGGTCTTCGGCCATTGTTTTGGCACCAGCTCCTGCTTTCAGGGGAAGAGGGCATTGTAGGGCTTCGGGATTTGAGGTTTCGGGTTGGGCCAGGCTGCCAGACAAGAGCCCTTCATCTTGCGAGTGAATGTTAAATGATGCATACGAGAATGTTTTTCAACATGTTCAGAGGCTTTTGCGAGGGGGGTGTTGAAGTCGAGGCCGAATCTGGCTTTGTCATTCAACGTCTTGGCGGGTTTAGAGGAAGTGGCATTGAGCAAGAGCAGGCCCAGCCAGTCTTGAGGCCCAGCATCTAAAGGAAGCTCTTTAGACCGCAAATTCCAGAGGCTTCTTTTCTGAATCCTGCCGATGTCTCTATCTTGATCCCTGGCATCAAAGCTCTGGCACTCCAGCAAGGAGCTCCGGCAGCAGGCGCTCATCGTTCAGGCATCGCGGCCCAGCTCTGGCCGTCAGCGCACACTCGTGGTTGCATTCGTAGCCTCGATCCATACCCGGTACCCCCTAACCATGCCGTTCAAGCCTGGGCGGACCCGAACCCCCACCCTCCAACTTCAATCGCCGGCGCTCGCTCACCCGCCCCCCTTTGCCCCTTCGCGCAGAAAAACGAAAGCAGGACAAAGGAACTACATGACCCATTGAGGCCACAAATGCAGAGCCTGTAAGCCCTGATTTCTGCAGCCCCGAACACGAACGAAACGAATCCTCAGCCCTACATCTTGAAGCCCTCAACTCTCGGCACGAAGAGCACACGCCAATGACACCACAAAGAACGACAAAGTACTACTCCAACAACACCAAAGTTGGACAAAAGAGCCTAAACCCTCAAAAAATGCCTTAGACCCAAACCTCTTAACCCTAAACCCTTGCAGCCGCACGGGCAGGCAGGTGATGAAGGCCTGGCCCGAGAGCTGCAAGCTGCGCCCAGCACTCGCCAGCGGAAGGCCGGGATTCGAGGCGTTTCACCTTTCGGTTCGAAGCGGGTCAAAGGGTCCTACGAGGTGTGTTTTGGGTCTTTGAAAGGGTGGTGTAGGCTTTTTCAAGTGTTTCGTGAAGCGTTTCTTTTCGATTGGGGTCCCTCTTTGGGGAGGGTTCCTTCCATGAAGGATGCTGCTGTTTAGGGGTTTATGCAGCCTTACAAGGTTTAGGGATCGTGGTATGGAGGTTTGGGTTGTCGGCCATTCCAGGATTCAGGGTTTTTATGCTTGAGGGGATCCAAGAAGTCGTTCACTGTGGACGATCCAGTCGGGACATCAGGAAGGCACTCTGCAGCACTGTATGGCTGTTTGGGTTTCTTCGGGTCGTTGAGATGATTGAGGTGCCGCGGCAGCACGGGGCTCTCAGGAGGAGAGTTTCGAAGATGCTGTGGGGCTCACATTTACGAAGTCTTACAATCCTCGATTTTTGGGAAACAGCTAGCCGGCAGACAAACTGGACTCAATACCACTGACGGTCATCGTAGCTGTCGTCGCAGCTAATACTCAGGATCGAAGGTTACGTTTTAAGTGTTGAATATTCAAGCTGTTCTGAAACTATAGTGCTCAGTGTAGTGATACTAGAAGAATCGCAATCTTCGAAGCACGGAATGCGAGGCTCGTGTCACCAAGTCCGAGTTGCAGGTCGATTTCGGGGAAGTGGGGGGAGTATGGCTCTTTGGGGCTAGTGTCGGTTTGTAACGCAGTATCAAGATTTATGGGGTTTCTGAACTGTAAGGCTTTCATCGATTTTTGAAACTAATTAGAGGGGTATCACATCTGGGGAGTCTAGGGGTATTCTGTTCTTCAGAGTACAGCATTTCGGCCCCCTACTTTCTGAGACTTCCATGCTACCGTGGGTCTACGGATTCGGGGAATCAGAGTTTTACTTGCCTGCGGAGGCTTTGTGGTTTGGACGTTCAGCCAAACGCAGGTTTGGAACAGGTAGTAAGATGTTTCCCTGCCTGCTTAATGTAACTACCGAACAGAAACCATCCAAACCCCCCATTCCATTCTAGCTGTCAGGCTTCAAGATTCGTTGCAAGATCAGGCCTTCGTGCTTCAGTTGCTTAGGGTCCAGCGGGTGGGAATCTCGAGGTGCTCTGGGTCTTGAACTTAATGTGCTGACGTGGCATGCAAGGTTTCCTGCAGGGTTTCAAAACAGCCAGCTGAGATGCTATGCAGAAAAAATTGTGTCGACACATTCGAGACTTGGCTTTCCTCCGGGCTAGTATGGTTAGTGATTCTATTGGTCACGAAGTTGGACGCTTGGCTGGTGGATTTCCCCAGCCAGAAACCTATAGATTCTGGAGCCGAGCCCTAAGCAGACACCCAATGCCCAGAATTCATCGCCCTCATGTCCTTGGAATGCTTTCAAAGCCCTGAACCGCACTAAGCTTCAAGGCAAGCTGGCCCCAGTCTGGTGATTGAATAGTGGCCTGGAGGGTGTATAGGGTTCAGAAGCCCAAGCAGCTTTCAAGATTGATAATGTTGCTCCCATGTTTTCGCTAGTCTCACCGCACACCCATTTGGGAGACATTCTCATTATGCAGATCAACTACCTTGCATTCAGCAGTTACAGGTCACGAGCTACAAGGAATATGACGGGACCGAAGACACCCGACCTCAATGAGGTTGAGAACAGGATTGGCCTGTCCGGTAGCTGCAGATCTTGCTGAACTCTACACCCTGAACCCTGAATCTGCCCCCGGCCATGTCCGACGATACAAAATCCGAAGCTTAGGAATCGAAACTTCCACTAACCCCCGAACAGCCAGGACGCAACCCTCAACCCTCTACAGAGCCTTGTGCTCGACGTGTTTCTTCGTCACCACCAGGCACTGGAAAAGGCGGAATCCCTGGCAGCTCCAGCTCCTCCTATCGACTGTTGGGAGGAGACTGCCGAGGACAACAGATACAAGAGCAAATGGTTAGTTGAGGGGGTTCCAAGGGCTCAGGGGGTTTTGGGGCTTTATGCGGTTTCGCATGGGTGTGCGGATTTCTTAGCCCCCGAGAATGCCACTATGTAGATTAGAGCAGCAAGGGTGTCTTCCGAGCAGTCTTTCGAGGATGCTTTGGGGGCAGAGGGTCAGGCGCTTAGGAGACCATGCACAGGACTTCCGTCACGTGCTTGGAGATTCTGAACCCGTGCTTCTTGGCTTCTCGGAAGGACTCCATGCTCGAAAGCCGTCATCGCGACAGAACTTCAGATCCTCCCTGCCAGCACACCCCAAAGAGAAGATCACACATCTGAATACTCCCAGCGGTTACAGTTACTCTAACAGTTACGCCCAAAGACCACTATTGAGCCTTGTTGCCTTGAGACAGAAGAGCACCAATCAGACGGAAGAGCGCCAATCAGATGGCCCCCTCCCCCGGGCCTGAATCCCAAGCCATCGCGCAAGGCCACCGCCCAAATATCATGACCCCCAAGCCTTAAATTCCTCAACCCTGAAACCACCCAAGCCTCAAACCCTGAACTGAACCCCATGCCCTCAGCTCAGAAATCCGAAATTCCAAATCCCTCAGCCCGTGTAAACCCTCAAGCACTGAAATCCCTAAACCTAAGCATAAACCTCAAACCCTGCCTCAAACCCTAAATCCTAAACCCGCAAACCCGCCAGAGTGAGGCTAAACGTGGCTCCGGATATTCCAAGCGCGCGGGGTCCCCAAACTCGGGGCGAATACTTCCACGGACGGAAGTGGCCGCAGGCGGGCAATGGTTCAGGATGCAGGAGTTTGGGTGAAGGAGTTAAGGGTTCAGGATTTGATTTTTAGGAGGTTTGCAGGGCTTATGGTGAGACTAGTGTTGCTATTGTCATTGTTCTTGTTTCTGTCATCATGCGTTCTACTGAGACTCTTTATCCGATTCTGACGATTACTGTTATGATGAAGGCTTTCGGGTTGAAGAGCAGATGAGCAAGTAAGCCCAGTGCGCGGTTTGAGGGTTTTACAGTGTTTAGGGTCAACCCTGAATCCCGGGCCCTGAGCCTCCAACTTCAGGCTTGACCCTCGACCTTCGACCCTAGCCCCGAATCCCTGCATTCCCATGAAAGTGCTAAAATGCTGGTAAAGCCCTTAAGCACCGACAAAAAGACTAGCAAAACCCCCCAAACTCCCTCAATCATAAAACCTTCCGTCTCCGGCTCGCAGCTTTTGGGATTCGGCCCAGGTGCGTTGGATTCTCCGACGCCTTTCCGCTCTGCGAGCAGAGGGTCAGGCCGAACGGGACAAAGAGAGTCAGGTTTAGGGTGTAGGGTTTATCTCTGAACATTACGGTTTCGGGTTTAGGGGTATACGGCATAAGGTTCTTAATTGGGCCTCATACTTCCGTTAGTTCTGGGAATTCGGGCTTAGGACGTTCAATGAAGGCTAGGTTAGGCTTTCTTGTTTCTGTAGGGTTCATGTAAGGATGAGTGTGACCGCGTAATTAAGCACGAACTTAATGCAAGCTACGGCAGGCTTCTTGTTTCTACATGCAGGTTCTTATTGTATATGGGCTGCGAGCGATCAGCCCGCCTGGTGGTAGATGATTCGCACAAGCTCTGATTGCCCTGGTAATCGCAGTTCGTAGGCCTCTAATGGGGCGGGACTATGGCACGCCGGAAGTGAGAACCTTTTTCTGCAGACTTCTCTTGATCAATCGTAGCTGCACAAGCACACGACTCTTGCGTGCATGTGTCACAAGCTGTAAGCTTGCATGCCCCGCTCCCCGAAGGAGTTTCTTTGAGATGTCAAAATCAACTCTCTGCTTTTGCACTACACGTAGTGTCGAAAGGCTCCAGACCTTGTGTGCGTCGCTTCCTCGCTGACTGCATCAGCGGGTCTTCCACTATCTTCCAGCTGTGCTGCATACGGTAGTAAAGCTCCAATTCCCGTCCTCCTCCAGCTTTCGTTAAGGAGTTTGCCAGTTGAGCTTCGGAGTGTACCCAGCGTAGCTGAAGACCTGTCTGTTGTTGGGATTCTTTGAGTCCCAGCATTTCTATATCTGATCTTTTCTCCGCCCCTTTGATCACTATGACCTCGTTCTGAAACTTGTCATAGACGTTGCGTGAATCTGTGATGACACACCCTTCGACTCGGCGAACTGTGTGATCTGGTTGCCGAACATTGTCGTTGACGAACAGAATCTCTGAGAGCTGATACCTTGCAAAGTACAAGGCGTCCTCTCCGTTGGTGGCTGCTAAGGTCTCTGCCGCGCCAGGTGAACGGCACGCGCGATCCACCTTAGTCGAGTGCCAGCTGATGGGAGTGATACTCCCCAGCTCGCCTGCCAGTATGGCCGTAGTTCCCAGGCCAACAAAGATGCCCTGAGTGCTGCCTCCATTGCAGCGATTCTGACTCGCTGCGTCCACCCATGCGAACAACATCACCTGTTCCTGAGGATGAAACTTGTGAATCAGCATCTTGTGTTTCCGTCTGGCCTTGGTGTAACTCAGAAGCGTGTTTGTCCTCAGTATGGTGCTCACTCGACTAGTTGCCACCTCTGACAGAAGAAGACTGACCTCAGCGGACAGGTGAGGTGCGGTTTGTTGGGCACACCAACTCAAGGAACCCAGTAACGCGCGAAGTTGTCCCTTTTCACGCTCTGTAGCTCTGTAGTTTCTGCCTCTCGCTCCTTTCGGCGTACAGCACCCACTGGGATCTCGGATATGGAATCGATGTATTGTTCTTGTGAGAGCTCGAAACCTGCCTCGGTCTGTCGGATCAGCACCCCACATTGTACAAAGGAGTCCTCTTCCCAGTCTCCCCATTTAAACTTCGCCTTGATCTGATCCAAGATGGCCTGCCATTCTTTGTCGTCATCACGTCCTCCGAAGAGGAAGTCATCGACGTGACCTGAGATCATGCCGCGAAGCTGTCCTTGTGGCCGCCATACCCACGCGCATGCGTCTGACCATAGCCTCTGCAATCCCAGCTGTTCTAGGAAGGAAGCCACCGTGCGGTACCATTCCAAAGGAGCGTCCACCAAGCCGTAACAAGCTTTCCGAAGTCTGGTGACTGAGCCCTTCTCCAAGCCCATGGCAGCGCAAATCTCATCGCAGGGTATGCAATGTAAGGTGTCGGGGTACTCCCTGCCCTGTAAGAAAGCCCCTGAAACATCTCCTTTGCGCAGCCGCCAGCCTTTCATTGCCGATACCTGTAACATCATCTGGCGAGTCTGTCTCGTCATGACAGGAGCTGTGGTATCACGATGTTCGTAGCCAGGGTCTTGATACCCTAAGAGCACCGCCCTCGCCTTCGCCTTGTAGGATCCGTCGTCCCGCAACTTCCAAGTCAGGATCCAACGCATGCCAACTGCCTGTTCTTTGGATGGTCTCATGTGTATTGGCACTGCCTCAAACGCTTTAGCTGCAAGGAAATTCTTTACTTCGATAGCTTTAGCCTCTCGAAACTTCTCCAAGTCTTGCGCATTTAACTTTCGCTCACAGACTTCCACAGCTCGTCGTTTGAAGGCGCCAACAAAGAAGTGAGTCAAGTCCTGTGTCATGGCATGAATTCCTCGACGACTGTCGGGTACATCCACTTCTACTGCCACGGCCGCATTCTTGTCACTCCAGTAGGAAGACTCCTGCGTAAGGAACGCTTGCTCCTCCACATGTGTCGTCCAGTGTTGGCTGGGCACTTCTCCTACCGTGGGAGCTGCCGAAAGTCTAGGTCTCTGTGGTTCGCTGCCCTCGGGATCCACGTCAACATCCATCTCACTGGCGGCTCGATTGTCGCCTGTTCTGCTGCTGGGCCCTGGCCTCTTCATGGAGATGCGCCTCGTCAGCCGGGGCGGAATTTCCCGCTGGATGTCCTGGGCACGCTGCCACTCCTCGACGCTTGGCACCTCCGCACTCACATCCTCGAACTGGTTGCCGCCGATGGCCTGCGATACACGAGTGAAGGTCCAAGGAACACCATCGGACTCCACCATGGACTCCACCAGCTCCTCACGATGTGAAGCGGGGCGTAACTGCTCCGGTGCACACTTGATTAAAGTGCGTCCGCGGACGCACCAGACTGAACTGCCAGGCCTCAAGTCCCCTTGCGAGTCCCTCTTGGTCTCTGTCGCAAGGATCCTTGCTGGGCCGAGAAAACGGCCCTGTTTGGATCCCGGCTTTTTCTTGCTTTGCCCAGATTCTTGTGTACGCCAGTAGAACACCAGGTCGCCTGGGGTGTAGTGCCGCGTCGGCTGCGGTCGAGAATGCTGGGCTCGATCGAGTCGTTCCTTGGTCCGCCAATCCACCATCGCCTTTTCCGCAATCGCCTGTTTTTGCAACAGATTCTGGAACTCGCCTGAAGCGTTCGCGGCGTGTAATTCTTCTGGCAGCTGTTGAACCTCTTGTGTCATGCGACCTGTCGCATCCCGGCCACACCCAAATGCTAACTGCATCGGAGAGAAACCCCGAATCACATCCCTCTGGTTGAATGTCAGTATGGCCGTTGCCAATGCGTCCTCGGGAGTGATTTGATCATCCTCGTCGGCTAATTTGCTCATGACCTCTTTGACGCCCTTTATGGCGCCTTCACACGCACTCATCTGCCAATGCGCCTCTCCTGGAATGATGTCCAGGTAAATGTGATGTCGATCGGCAAACTCCTCTAGGGCCTTGCTCCTAAAGGCTCCAGCTGGATCCAGGCGCAGTGTTTGTGGCTCACCAAAGTACTGAATCCACCCTTCTCTCATGTAATGCAAACATGCTGCCGCGCTCGGAGTCTGCTTTGCACCTCTTGTCAGTATTCGTGCCACTCGATAGCGTGAGTTCTCATCTATCAACAGGAGAAATTGCACATGCTCCCCCGTTGTGGGATGTCGCCAGTCTCCCACATCGCCCGCCAGAGTACTCCATCTAGGGGGCAGGGGTTCAAGTGATGATACATGGCGTGGCGTCACATGACGCTTCTCAGCACAAATGGGACATGAGAAATCTTGTGCCAACTTCAGAACACTTTCACTAGCACCACGGCGTCTTAAAGCAGTCACAAGGTGTCTCGTGGATCCGTGCCCAGTAGCCGCATGCAACTTGTACAAACTGCGCTTGATTCTCTCCTCTTCTTTCTGGCTCAACGGATGCACTCCGGAACTACTGCTTGACATGTCCGCCACTTGCGCACTCTGACATGTACCGCACACTCTGCTGCACACATCGGGAACTTCAAAGCCCTTACGTCCCAAAGCCCTCCGAACACCTGAAGAAACCCTCGCAACCCCGCGACTGACAAAACCCGTCACCGTTATTCGCTCTCCGACCCAGGCCTGTGTCTCGTGCCACTGCTTGGGGTAGAACTGGACCACTCGGTGCCGCGTTGGGTGGCTGTGGCCGCCGAGAGAGCTGCCGTCGGGCAACACCTTTGTCGTGTGATTCTGATGTCCGTTCTCTGGCCTATGGTCACCTACCCAGAGTTCGCCTCCTTTGTAGGGTCCTAGGCCTATCAGGTGGTTAGGGTACTCCCCACTGTTGTGGAGGTCTCGGTGAAGGGGGAGCCTGGAGCCAAAGTTGATAACAACTGAAGTCCACTTCGCCTCGTTGCCACAATGAGCCTTCAAGTAGCCGTTAAGATACTTCACAACATGAGGAAAACGCACTGTGTTTTGGGTCACTCCATACATTGCTCCGTGTGCATACATGCCGAAGGTAATGTACGTAGCACATGACTGCTTGGCCATATGGCGCTTCGTTTTGAGTTGTTCATGGGGGATAGTTTGGAGAAGTTGTTCGCACATGTCATGTGTAAAGTTGTTTTGTTCGCACAATCGCTTCGCTAAAGCTTCACACTCCTGAAGTCCCTCGCAACTTTCACAGAGTTCCTGAACCTCACCCTCGCCTTTATCCCCTTCCGAATCTCCGAAGAAACCCAGACCCTGATTTGCCACGTCACCACCTGCTGTCCACGGTTCTCGGAGTTTGAGGTCGGTGGGATTAAGGGGTTGTAAGGTAACATCGCCCTCTTGCAGAAGGCACCACGCACACTGACTTTCCTTGCTGCTCTGGACTCCGCCGTCGCACGTGCATCGAGGGCCTTCTCCGAAACCCTCAAGAAGACTACTTTGTCCCTGACACTCTTGCACAACACCCTGGTGATTTAACTCCTGTAACAACACAGAAACCACTCGCTTAGCATATTCCGCAGTGTAGTCGCCGCTCTGCTGCAGAAGCCTACTCTCACCTCGTGCATGCTGGTAGTTACAGGGACAATGGCAAGGCATGTGCATGACCTCCGCGAGTCTCTGATGTGTGGTCGCTATCTTCCATCCCTTCTGTAAGAAACTACCATGTTCCGACTCTCGAAGATTCACTCTACACCCTTTCGTGGTAGCAACATGTAAACCAAGGTCCCGCAACATAGACTGTATCACTGGGAGTCGCCAGGCTTGACATCGTTCAGGCCACTCCCATGTCGCATGTATGCCGCTCTGCGAACAGAAAAACATGACCTTAACGCAACCCTTATACAACTTCATCGCTACTCGTCGTTTCTCCTGGAGTTCAGCTTGCTGTTTCGGGTTCTTTTGGTTAAGGTTCTGCATCGGACTAAAGGCACCTCCAGGGGGCGCAATCCACACATGTTGGGGTCGAAGCTGTTGAATTTGTTCCAACACAAGCGCTATTCCTTGGGGAGTTCCTAAGTCGCAATGATTCCACTCTGCACATTGCAAAGCGGCACACTCCTTCCCAGTCTGTTGTTGCACAGTTCGGGTTAATATGCTACTGCCAGAACATGCTACCTGCATCAGCACGGGCCGTTGTGCTCCAACGAGCTCTTGCATAAGTCCAGGCACTAGGGCCCAGGCTTGTTGTTCTAAGTGTCGGGCCGCACTTTCAGGCAACATCTTCTGAGCTCCGGGCTCTACAGGGGCCTCGCTCACGGCTTCTTGTGGCCCCGACCCTTGCCACTCTCCGAGACCATGCTGAAGCTGTCCGGGGAGATCCCTTCGTCCTCGGATTTGCTCGCTTCCGCCTTTTTGCGGCGGGGCTCCCGCACCAAGGCAGCCATCTCGGCCTTCATGATCTCCATGGCCTTGGTGAGTTGGCGGATCTTCTCGCTCTGGTCCTCGTGACTCCCCGAACTCGTCGATACGAGCTCCGGGTACCTGGACTGCGCGCCTTGGCCTTTGTGGTTGGATAGCTCTTCTCCTTCGTCGGCTGATTGCGAAGCCATCCTGCCAGCCTCTGCAGACGGTAGTCCGATTCCTTGCCGTTCTCGTGAGCGGTCTGTAGCACCCATTGGCAGTACTCCGGCCACTCCTTCATGATCTCCTCGTAGGATAGGCTCGCGTGACGCCCGAATCCCACTGGGTCCATCCCCGTTGCCGGGGACAGATCGTAGATCTTGCGGATGGCCATATTCTGTGTGTTCCTCACGGTCATGTTGGGTGAGATCATCAGCCCGAGCTTGTCCTCGGCATACGTCACCAAGTCGGCCTTCTTCCGGGAGGCCTTGTTCATCTCCGTCATCATGGTGGCCAGTGGTGGCCGCGTTCGACCACTGGGAATCTCCTGCCCCAGTTCCTCCACCAGCTCGTAGATGCGAGCCTTGATCTCTGCCTTCCCCCACTGTGTGGGACACTCCTCCCCGAGCTTGCCCAGGTGCTCTTGCAACTGGCCCTTGTTCATCTTCTCGATGGCGCCCTTGGTCACTGGAGCCGTCGACATGTAGCTGACACGCTGGAGGGGATTCGCGAAATGGTTCTGTGTGGCTTGGACCTGCACAACCTTCCACGATAGGGTCCCGCGATTCTCCACTCACGTGTAATGCAAAACGAACCCTTCTACACTGCTCACTACTCCTACTTCCTACTTTTGACATCTCAAAGTCTGTACATGAAACATTAACATTCTGCCCTGCTGCACTGCGGTCCTCCCATTTCCCGTCAGGGGCCGGTGATGGGAGGTGCTGTCCCTACTCCTTGGGCAGATACGCATCTAAGCCTGGAATCTTCTCCCGGGCTGTGAAACTGCTACTCCACCAGTTCTCTGTCAGAGGCAGGAGCTGATGTCCGGTCTGGGACCGGGCAAGCTTGAGGATTCGATTCTCATCAAGGGCCCTAAAGACTGCCAAATCGTTGTCAAAATCTATGACGGCTTTGAGCCGTCGCAATGTGTCGATTGAGAACAGCACTGGCCCTGTGCCTTGCCCTAGAGCGTGCACGCTCAGCTCACCTTCATGATTCCCAGCCTGAACTCCCAGCTTGATGGTCGAGAGGCAGCGATTCTCCGTGGAATTGCCGAATCCAAACAGGGGCCGATTGCCCCTGTCCACCTCCTTCAGCTGGTTCTTGCCCCATTTCCGGTGGTTGATCGCGAGGATGTTTTCCAAAGCAGTCACACTTCCTAGTGTTTTCGTTGCCCCTCCGTCTATCACTGCATAGCCGGCCTTCACCGCGTCATGTGTGGTCATAGGCGTTGCCACTGACCAAGCCGCCTGAGGTTCGATCTCGTCCGAATAGTAGTTGCATCCATGTTCCTCCTCAGGCGCAGTGCTGAAACAGACAAAAGGAGCTTCCTCTTCTGCACTGTTTGCTGCCTGTGTGCCTGCTGGCTTGGGCGGGTTGGGGCAGTGAGCTGCCCTATGGCCCACTTTCCCACAGGCGAGGCATGTCATTCGACTGTCGTCGGGCACATATCCAGTACTTCCTCTGCCCCCAGAGGAAGGTACCTTGAAATACTTTCTCGACTGCTTGACTTGGAGCTGCTTCATCCTCGCTTCTCGCAAGGTTCTCTTGGCATGGGCGGCGGCCACGAGCGCCGTCTGCGCCTCCTTCTCCGCCTCATCCCATGCTGCCAGACCCTCCTCGGTCCAGCTATCCCGATCTCCGTCCGAGAGAGCGCCATCGTCCCCATCAGAGATGTCCTCTCCAATGAAGCTGTATGGTGCTGATCATGCTTGCGGATCTCGGTTTCAGGAAGCTGGTTACGGAGTTCCTGGGCCACTTTGTCGAACGCAACATCCCCTGCCAGTGCCGTCTGCACCAAATTGCGCTCTGCCAAACTTAGGCCCGCATCCTGAAGTAACAGCCACCCCTGCACGAAGTCGGGTAGGATTGCCGGAGCGGTGTCTACCGTCTCGTTCCCGTAGTACTGGTTATCCCAGTTCCAAGAAGATCCCCACCATGAAGACCATCCGCCATAGCTATAGTCCGAACCCCAGTTGTCCCAACCAGAGCTCGAGTTACGGGCGCGCCCCGTGGATGCTGCGGTGGTCTCTGCTTCATCGTCTTCTTGGTCAGCCTGAGAACCCATCTCTGAGGCATCCACACTGCTCCGGCGACTTTGACTGGTTTCCCAGTACGGCTGTCGCCAGGAGCTCTGCTGTTGATTGCTGGAAGCTGGCTTCGAGGTAGGAGTGACCCGTTGTAAGGCCTGACATGCCCTCATGTATGCTTCTGATTTCCGGGTCACATATTCGTTGATGGTCTCCTGGGCCCGGCGTCGGGTCCCTTTGAAGTACTTGCTCAAAAACTCCCCCAATTCTGCCAGCTGTGGCTTGCCTAGAGCTTGCCGTAAGTGGTTCATGAGCTTGCGAACCCCACCAGGATAGCTCACCCATTCCGGGGGCTTACCCATCACAAGCCGCCTCGCGGCTCCCTGGAGCTCACTGATCAGGCGAGGAGCACATGTTCCCCGCTTGTGAGGTGCAATGCCTTGTTCCCATAGAAGACATTGCTCCTCATAGGCCACAAAAGTGGCTGTGTCTCCAGACCATGTCGGCACCCCGTCTTTGGTGCGGGTCTGATTGCTCGTCGTCTCCATGCGGCCCCGCAGCGTGGAGTCTCGTACTTGCCCTGGATCGTTCTTCTGGAACCGGCGCCTCAGTGCACCGGCTCCGCTACCATGCGAGCGATCAGCCCGCCTGGTGGTAGATGATTCGCACAAGCTCTGATTGCCCTGGTAATCGCAGTTCGTAGGCCTCTAATGGGGCGGGACTATGGCACGCCGGAAGTGAGAACCTTTTTCTGCAGACTTCTCTTGATCAATCGTAGCTGCACAAGCACACGACTCTTGCGTGCATGTGTCACAAGCTGTAAGCTTGCATGGGCTAGGCCTTCATACATGCCTAAATAAGTAACAGCGACTTGCGGGTTGAGGGTGTGTTTTTTCGGTTAGGTTAAGCTTTCTTGTTTATTCAGGTTTCACATGTATTCTAAGAGGACCTCATACATTCCTCAACTTGAGGGTTTCGGAGTTCATGTTTGTTTGCTTAGGTCGGGGTTTCATGTTTGTTCGAGGATCTCCTGAACATTTCAGTGTCAACTAGAACTTGCCAAATGGGGACATGCTTCAGGTGTTTAGAGGTTTGGGGGCTAGGGGGTTTCAGGGGCTTAAGGTCTAGAGTCTAGGGTTAACGAAGATTCCATATTGCGGCGCGCTTCGTGCGGTTTGCTATTGGGATATATGGGCCTGAAGAATGCTCCTTATAGAGTAATGGCAATTTCGCAGAAAGCGCTGGAGGGTTTGAGGATTTCTCGGGTTGAGGCTTCAGGTTTTAGCACTCTGGGCGCTTTGACGGTACCAGATCCTGCATTTCTTAAGCTCCTTTCGGTGTCGGGGTTGTGGAAGTCGTATGGGACAAACCAGAAACCCCATGTGCGAAAGACATGCCGAAGGGGATGTTACTTATTCAGCCCTCAACAGACAGACCGTAGAGTCTGGCATGGAATCGCGGCTTTTACGGTTCGGGTAGGGCTTGGAGGTTTGGGTAACGAAGCAGCAGTAACAGATGCAAAGCTTGGCGACGGCCGGGAGAGGTATTCCAGCACATCCTCGACGTCGGCGGTGGCCGCGGTGACTTGGCCATCAACATGGCATCGCATCTCGGCGTGAAGGCAGCCTGGGCGGGGGATGGGAAAAGTTATAAAATTGCATCATAGCACCTGCGGCTGTGCAGAATGCACATACATAATCACCCATGTATATACATATATATATATATATACATTCATTCATGCATACATACATACGCACCTAATACATACCTACATGCCCAAGTGTCGTGTGTACATTCACCGTAGGAGTTGGCGCAGCTGGGGGTGTCGTCGATTGTGGTGGGTCAGGTTCAGGGCTTTCGGGCCTTAGAGAGCGGAATTTACGGCTCATGTCGGAAATGGGGTTTAGAATTGTAGGGTTTAGGAACCTTTGGGTCTGGGCGACCAGCCTTCGACTTCGCTGGCAGCTGTAAAGCGAGACTGCGGTCACCGAGCAAGATGTTCAAATCTCTCATACTTTGCGAGTTGCGGCCTGCGGTCTGCAATACCTGAGCCACGAATGAAGTCCAAGTCTGCAAGTTTGCTTTAGGATTCCTAATGCCTAGATGTTCTACGCGACAGTCTTCCAAAATCTTGTACATGAGCTCATCTGACCTCGCAGGTTACGGTGGTGGACATGCGGCTGTGCAACGTTTATTGTGGAGGATTTCGTCTCAACTCTCGTTTGAAGCCCCTTCACCTAAGCTAGGCAGCAGAAGTGAATATGGCACGTCTGACAATTGGACCAGCATACTTCCTGCCTAAAGGCGCTGAAACTCCTGGAGCAAGTTATTCCCAAGTTCTGAGCATCAAAGCTTCCAGCAATTGACAGTCCCGACACCTTCTTTGATCTCCGGGTCTGAGGGAGTTGTGTAGTATTTCAGATGGTTGTTCGGTGTTTGTGGGGGGGTCGTTCTAAAGCTACTTCTCCCTCATTGAGAATACAGATCTGCACCTAGAACGGCAACTAACCCCATGGCCCCTTTGGGAACAGGTACTTTGAACAACAAAGTGAAATCCTGACTGCACCGGATCCGAGGATAGATTTGCAGCAACCAAAACTCAACACCACAATCCCTCTCTCTTTCTCTGTCTCCCTCTCTTTCTCTTCTCTCTCTCTCTCTCTCTCTCTCGCTCTCTCTCTCTCTCTCTCTGCTCGGCCGCACACCCGGCATCAGGGTTTGGATATCTGAACTCAGCCAAGATCTACTCTAAGACTAGGCCCCATAAAGCCCTTAATCCTGGGACCCTAAGCTGAACCCGTACACGCCGAAGCACTCCAACGCCGAACCGCAAGGAACGCCTCCTCGCTGCAAGCCGGGCAGAATGCGGCAGAGAGGGCCGGTGTCGCCACTTGGGGGCCTTGGGGCTCGGGCTTCTTGCTCTAGGCTGATTGATTCTATGATTATTCCAGCAGCATCTGCAAGGTGTGGGGTCTATGCGGGTTCGAACTGGATTGCACGAAGCTGTGGCCGTTTAGAGTTAAGATGCATATAGAGGCAACACGTACCTGCGGGATGCACGCAGCGTTTCGAGCCGAGCTCTAAAGCTCAAGCTCTCCTGGACTCCAAGTCTAGTAGACTAATCGCAATCTCAAAGTTGACCAGCACTTACCCGGACAAGAATGGTGGCACACACCAAGAGTGATGCCAGGCGAAAACCTAAACGCAAGCCCCTTTCAAAAACCATAGAACATCTCACCTGCGACGATTCTAGGCATTTTAGGATTGTGGGGGTCAACTGTCGCCGCTTCGAAGCCTGAACCCTACAGACTATATAGACCACTAAGACCCAAGAACTCAAGCAAACCCTGAAATGCAAAACAAGATTTGAGCCCTCAGCTTCTGGGCTTTCGGCTACCTCGTCCAATCCCCGCATCCCGAAACTCTGAGCATCCTCAAACTCTAACACTCTACGAGACAGAAACCTTAAACTGTAAGCCCTTAAGCCCTGCTGTAGACAATGCTGAACTATTCCCTCGAGAGCGCCCCAACCCATCAGAATCTCGAACCATGTCAAAACATGATATCTCTGTAGACTCTGACGATGTCCTAAGTGTTTACCCCAAAGCCTTAAATCCACCGAACACCAAAGCCAAGGACGTGGCTTTCCGCTGCATGGATTTTCGCGACATCTACAAAGAGGAGGGTGGGGGCAAGGTTCGTCTTTTGGATGACGTTAGGGTTTGGTTGTATGTTTTCCGGATCTTTGGCCTTTTTTCTTGTCAATTGTTTTCCGGGCCAGCAGCCTTAAACTGCTTGCGAGGACGACATGCGCGACGTGGACTTCCTTGTGGCCCTGCACGACCTTTGCCTGACAAAGTTGGGGGTGGTTTTTCGTTTTCACCTTAGGGGTCCGTTCTCCAATCAACCTGAGCATACAGCCAGTCCGGCCTGGAGTAACTTAAACTTCGAGGCCTGTTTACATGTACAGGATTTTGGGTTGAGGCTTGTGGGTTTAGGGCTTAAGGCCGCTTAGGGTTTGGGGTCCAGGGTTTAGCCCTCGAACCAGTTTAGGGTAGGGCTAAGTTCGCTGCTGCTCTGTGGATACTGCTAGGAAGCTTGTATGGTAACCGTAGTATTGCACTTGCCATCCCCGTTAAGCTCCAACACCCGGCGTTCTCTGAAGCTGCGTGGCAAATCCAAAAAGCGGCACCCGGAACCCACCCTTTGCTAGACCCCTGAATCACACGTGCAGCAGCGACTGCCCAGGCTTGCGGCGGGCTCAGTGACGCCGCTTTGGGCTTTGCCGTGCAGCGTCAGGCTTTTCAAGTTCTAAGACAGTGCGTAGGGCTCTGGCAATACTATCTGAACTATCTAAACCCTACGCCCTGCTGAGTTAGCTCCGGCTCTGGAACCTTCGCTCCCTAAGCAAGCGCCTCCGATATCTGAATTTTTGTGTGAGGGTTCAGGATTCTCGGAGGGTTTAGAGTTCCAATTGTTCAATGTACTTGCTCAGAACTGAACTATTCAGCTTCTTGAATTTGAGGATGTCAACATTGAACAGACTTGTGCGGTGCTGCAATTGAGTATTGTGTCGTAAAGATGTGTCTAGTTTTTGTTGCGAAGGGACAGCTCCATACAGTATACTACATTACCCACCCTGTTGCCTAGACCAGAAACCTACAATGCCCAAACACAAGATTTCCAAAACCCTGAGCCCCAGACAGACTAATCATCCTCAGCGCAAAAGGTGCAAAAGGCAAATCCTTGCATCTTAAATTGTCTACATCCAGGATCCAAGGTGGAGTCATGTACAGCCAAGACAAAACTTCGAACTTGACACATGCAACAGCCCCTGCACCTTGCAGGGTAAGCTGACCTTCTCTGACGACGATCCATCCTCTCAGAACTCGTCTCGAAGGCTCCAAAGACCCCAGCGACTCTAAGCCCAAGCCCCAGCACGACAAACCGCAGGTCCTGAAACCTCGTGGTTCGATAAGGCTTATAGAGCCCCGTGAGCCCAAGAAGCCTTGAATCCTTTTGGACTTATATAGTTAATGCGGTTTGTAAGATGGGTTATGGGATGTCGAAAGTCAAAAGCCTCCAAGCAGACCCCATAAAGCCTTTCAAAGTGTGAGAGTTTCAGGAAACAGCGGACCCCAACATTGAACACCCACCATGAAGAATCCTTGCTGTACTAAGTACACTTAAACAAGATGCCTCTACTACCTTTCAAGCCCGTCTAGCTTAAGGCTCGAAGTCCCTGAAAAGACCGCAGATCGCCTTCCTCGTTTGCCCCTGCTGTCACTTGAAGCACACGGCGCTGGAGCCGGCGGATGGCTGGGGATCTCTTTGCCCGGAGGTCCTGGCCTTGGGGTTGTAGTAATGCAGGACGGTTCATACTGTAGACGGGTTCTGCGGCAGCTCTTCTAGAGTTGTTCATAATGGCGTGTTGGGGTTGACTATTAGGGTTTGCGGATTCTTGAACAGAGCTTCATATTAGGCAGAATTGTGGGCTCATGCTAGCGGCTTTAGAGGTGAGTCTGCAAGATGGTTGTTTGGGGTTGTGGACTCTTATGAGAGTTTCGTAAGGGCCCCATAAGTAGCAGAATCCTTACCCAATCCGGCCTAAATGCCCCCTGGCGACCAGTTGTCATCATGCCTGGAGCCTATACAGCTCCCAATCGCGACGGTCATATCATAGGAGTGTTGAGACTGCAGTCCGTCAGCTGCAACATTTGAGTGGATTGACCTATAATGGTATATTGTTGGTACGGCATGCGAGCGATGTATGCCCCTACTGCATCGTCCATGCCGGTGACGACATCCACAGCGGTGCCCTCGAAACCGACGAGGACAGATTGCCCCGAAATGCTTCAAGTGAAGGACGCGTGTTGATGTGTTATGAATATTCCACTTGCAGTACTGAACTACTCTGTTTCCGTTCATCGATCCTTGGAGAATGCAAGCTGATCTTTGATGCGTAGTGCACATTACGGAAGCCGACCCGTGTCGACATGTGGTTCCCTGAAGATGCAAAGTCATCGACGCCCAGAAAAGCAGATTAATATAGAGGCCGTAGGCGACACATGGAGACGTTGGCAGCCGATGATGATCAGTATCGTCGCCTAACAGCAGATGAGCAGGATTTCTTGAACATGTTTCACAAAAAAGCGCAGGAGTTTGATGTGGCGCATGAAACCATGTCACGCTTGTTTCGGTACCTGGATTTGGTGCTGCATTCGTTGGGCGTGGCGTTGCCGAGCGCAGCGGCCCTGTGTGCCTCCGATGTCCTGAAGTGGAGGTATGGTGCTGCAATTTTGTCGCTGTGTGGTACCATGTGTTGGGTGGTAACAGCCAGGGCCCAATGCGGCGTTCAACAGTACAGGCACATGATGCTTCATCAAAAGTTTGCTGAGTTTGACCATGACATCAGAATGATCTTTGCCTTCGACAAGCTGAACCAACCAACAGACAGAGTTGTAGCAGTGGCAAATAAATATGCCAGTGTTCTGTATCAATCGAGGGATGCTATACTCCCTCATTGGATGCATCAGGAACTGAGCAATTGCGCAATCTTGACTGCGAATCTGGGGCAGCATGAACCCCGGCTGCCGTCAACAAAAACGCACCTGACACAGCAGCAGGTGGCAAATCACATTGATCCGTGCGTGAGGCAGGCCGAGGCCAGCCGGTTGAAGTTCATGCAAGATTGCAGAAAGTACAACATGCTTGCAACTGCCTTGGGGCTTCTGGCCGCCTCTTTCACCGTGGTCGGTAGCTGCCTGTCCTTTATGTCGAGCTTTTTGGCAAGCTTCAGCTGTGACTGTGCCGAAACCGGAAACATCGAGATGGCTGCAATCCTCACAAATTCTGCGGTATCACTATTGACGTTTGTAGACTCTGAACACGGCCTTGCTGTCATGGCTGCCAAGAACTTTGACGCCTTTAACTCTTGGTCAGCTCGGAAACGCATCATATGGCTCAATCGCTTGCAGATGCACTGCTTTCCAAACCAGGTTGTGCTACTTATCGAGGAAGAGCAAGCCAGGCTGATACAAGAGCTGGATGGACTGGGTCTGAAGTCGGTGCCGCGTGACCTTGCTGAAGATGTCTTAGCAGAGATGGAGCACCCTCGCACCTGCAACAGTTTGTCTTGTCCAGACACATTGTCTTGTTCAGAAGATAGCTCATGAAAGCCTACAAAGTTCCTGGCGCACTGGCATAGTCGCGTTGCCTGAGTTCGCTGAGCACGAGAGAAGAAAGCATGCGACATGAGTGCCTTGTGGAGCAGGGTTGGAGCAGTCTCCCTTATAGCCACAACTCAGTTTCACCGGGCCCTGCGCAGGATTACAACATGGACTTGCGCTCCGTGTCTTCTGCCTCTGGAATGTCGGTGCCGAGGGTGATTCGCAGGTTGGTTTTCTTGTTTATTGCATCCTAAGCCCTTGAGAAATGTCCAAAGCAAATTCGGCAGCTCATTCATGTAATCCCTGCTGGAGAACCGTAATAACAAGTATTGCGATAAAGAAGCTGCTAAGCATACCGCAACAAGAAAGAATTACCATGAATTACAGACCGGAGTCATGCAAAATCAGTTCTGACAACTCAGGGAAAAGCGAAAGTTGAGGTTCGCATTTGGGAATAAGCAACACAATAAGTGCAATCCTTATCATTGATTGACGAGCACCTGTCAGACTTTCTGATGTGATACACACTCATATGAGTTTAAACTCACTTGACATTAATTCAGTGTGTCTCTTTTTTGCTGTGTGTTCTCGGCGTTCTTGCATCACGCACATGTGTTTGCCTTCAACTGTGAAGCGCGTTCATACCTCATCATATTGCAGCGGCAAGCATGGCCTTTATACCCCTTCAGTGTAGCACATGCTGCACTGTGCGTAATAGCTGAGCTTGAAGAAGTTGCTAATGGCGCTCTCGGGTATCAGTAACGTCTGCAAGTTGCTATCTCCTGGTTTAAGCCTCCACTGGTTACATGTGCGACACTTACCCGCTTTGTTTATAGATTTGATTTCATGCCATTGTCATTATTAGGCAAGAGCTCGTGGTTGATTTCGCCTCGTTATGTTTCAGTGAAGTTCTCCATTATGGCAGATACAGGTCCTGGGCTTCAAGACGCTTTCTGCAGACTGCTTATTATTAAGGTGTTTACACCTTCAATATTCTTAAGGTGTTTCCACCTTCAATAAACAATTCTTGAGTGGGGTCTGTTCTTACTTTTGGCACAAAAGTGACTTTGACCTAGGTTCTTCCCAAGTCTCTGAACCGCACATACTGTTTTGCGCCTATGTCCAATGCGCTGTTTGTCATTCAGTTGTCGCGTCCTGAATATCTTGAGTCCATCACCCTTGTCAACTTCTGGATATACGCTGTTCAGTTTGCTGCTTCATATTAACTCGTTACTCGGTTTCCTCGCCTCTTCGTGAAACCTTCAGAAGAGTGTTCCACGTGAGGTTTGTATGTCAGCAGTATGGCGAAAGTATGGTGTCGTTAGCCCCAACTTGCTTACACAGCATGCCTCTGAAAGTTCGGATCGTTCTCTCACTGAAGTTCGGCCATACCTTCGTGGGTGTTCTACGTTCTGTTTCCTTGGGTAGCTGCGTATAGGTCCCTTTCATTATCGGTTTATTGCCCTTTTGTTTTTTATGCTTTCGCGCACAGTGGGCAGGCTTTCAATAATCCAAATCCTTCTTCCTTGTTTTCGGCACTAGGTGCATGACTGTATCAAAAACATCTGGCACGACTATGTCAAGATTGTGTTTGAGGTTTTTCATGTCCTTCATAATGCTTGGAAGAAGGGGTTCATATGCACAGTGTGGGGCAATGGAACTGTTCTGTCCCACGGGTTTGCTGTTCTGCTTCACAGTGTTTCCTGTTGTGTGCACCAGCATCGTCAATCATCAACAGTCGCGCTTTGTTTCATCTGTGCTTCTTTTGGTGTCCAACTCGTGCTCCCACATGCAGCGGTCCAGATCCATAATGCACCTCACCAAATAATGTGCTGAAGCACAATACAACAACGCAGACAATACATGTTCAACCTTGTTCTTTGAAGTAAATCAGCACGCTGCGGCTTCGTGGGCATGACAACCTTCATGATGTTCATGAAGACCACTTGGCGTTCTGACTGTTGCTGAGTTTTGCCAGCTGCTTCTCTGTTGAACCCAATAGTGCGGTACTGATGCAGTGAATACGAACATCATTTTAATTTTGCAGTGGTGGTAAAAAGGTAGAAGAGGACAGCAAGTAAACGCCAGCAATTCTTTCGAACTACATGTTCAAATGGGGTATTCATTCAGAAGTCCATCAGGAATAACATCAAGTTAAATTTGTTTGAATACATGTAGTTGATCAATTAGCAGCAGAAGCGGTTGTGCGATTGATACTGGGTCATTAGCAGGAGCACGAAAATTACGAACGGTTTCAGGTGATTTGATTAGATGCGGTCGTTTAGATATTGCCCCATTTGCCGCAGGCACATACGCTGGAAGACGACTCCATAAATATTCTTGGTCACATGTGCATGTATGCCATGTGCTTGTATCTACATGCACTGCAAGAGACAGACGTACATCAAGAAAAAACACATAGAGGACCACTTGTATTCAAATTCTATGCCATTCCTGGAATCCTGAGTCTGTATCTTTCACATGCCAAAGGCATATTCGTCGAGGCAGTCCGCAAAAAAGGCGCCAAATCCAACAACCAAGAAGTCATATTCCTGGGGAATTGGAACAAAGACGCAAAGGGTTCAGACTCTTCAGAAACCGGTCACGAAAAGAACCAAAAAATCAAAATGTTAGAAGCCACAAGGTGAGCATGTCCCAAAAAGACAAAGAACGAAAATTCCAAGCTTTTCCACACGGTCTGGTTTGTTGGCACGTTGTGGAGAAATGGCCGTGCGAATAGCTCAGGTTGAGTTTTCGGGGACTGCTTCGGGGGATACACTTGTACTAGTTTCCCCCCCCTTGTCTTGTTTGGGACCGTCCCGAGAAAGGGCCTTCGGAATGGATCGACATCCTTGTGTTCTTGGATTGTTTTCTGACCGCCTGAAGAGATATGCTCATTTCTTGGTGTTGTGTTCTTGTTGTTTTTTGGACTGCCTCCAGAGATATGCTCATTTCTGGGTTTCTGAATGTTGTTGCTTTTTGTGACTCGGAATACAACCCTAGATCCCGATCCCTAAAGCTTCACAAAGCCTTACACCCTAATCCTCCCTGAGCCTCCCGAATCCTGGGCTGACCGAACAAACTCTAAACTCCTGAAGTATTGAGAGCATCCGAAGGCACTAAACGCAAAAAGCACAAGTCCAAGTTTCTTTTAGAGCCCCTGCTGAGCTGAACCGTTATAGAGCCGTATAAACCCCACCCCTTGTATGCAGCCTCAGGTATTCTATTTTTATAGCGCGCTTATGTAAGGCCTGCACAGAACCCCATTAAGACCCTGCAAGAACCCTTGTACATGGAACAATCAGAATTTAGTCAACCCTATAAACTATAAAGCCCTTGGCAGGAGATAGCCTTAATTCTGCGGCAGCTGGCAGAGCGTGATCGCCACGCGGGCGTCAAGGGGTTTAGAAGTTCCCTTTTACGCTTGCTGCATAGGTTGTAGGGACATATGGTTTAGGTGTGTCGGATAGGGTTAAGGTTTACGGTCTATGGGGTTCAAAGGGTTGGGATTTTTAGGGCTCTAGGGATTAAGGGGTTGGTGCGGCCGAAGGGCTTACACTGTAGCTTAGGGCTTATTGGCCGTTTAGGGAGTGTAAGGGTTGTAGAGTTTAGGGTCTATCAAGGTGCCCCTAAGCCCAGGACAAGCGAACAGCCTTTATTAAGGCTCCTTCTCTTAAGAGAAGAAGGCGTAAGCCCTGCAGTTTCATCCTACATACCTCAACAGGCAAGCGGGCTTGAGAAGGTCCGCTACCACAGGTAAGGCCAGACCCTTAATCACAAACTGAAGCCTCAATGGCTTTCCGCAGGTCTCGGACAGTAGGGGCAGGTGTAATTAAGAAAGGGCGCTCTAAAGACAATCTGAAAGCCGCAAAAGATCCAAAAGTCTGTATCCGAAAAACCCTGAAACCTCCAAAGCCTTCAGCTTCCTTTCCCTAAGTACCTCAACGGGGGATACATACCCAAACCACACTAGCAGCTCCAAGAGGAGCAACCCTAATTTCTACTATGTAGGAAAGCGCATAGTGAACCCTTGGGTTCTTGGAAGTCGGATCCCAGGCTGCAGCGTCGCCCGCCGCGCCCTGGAGGCCATTGCCGCGCTTCGGCTCTGTGCCCTGGAGAGGCCCTTGCTTGAGGTTTTGGTTCAGGGTCCAGGGTTTTCAGAGTTTGATCAGGGCTTGGGGTTCCTTACAGGTGAAAGCAGGTCTGATAACAGCTTTCTGAAGGGCTCGTAAATGTCTTATGTAAGTTTGCATTGGCTTTGCAGGTTCTTTTCAAACTATGAGGGGTTGTAAAGGCTTTTTCGGGGTCGGGGTTGCAGGGGCTCTGGTTTGGGGTGTGGGTGGGTCTCCGTTCCGTTTTGAGAGTTTTCTTGAAACAGGTTTTAAGCTTTGAGGCTGACGATTCCTGATATGAGCTTCCAGGTAGAAGCTGGTTTCCGGCTTGAGAGGAGGAGGTGTGGGAAGATAGTGCACCCTGGTTTAAACGCCTTAATCTCACATCCACACCAGGATCCCTCACATTAGGCAAAAGACGCCCTGATCTATGTAAACCCTTGCCAAACATAAGCATATCCTTTTGGAGTGACTTCAATCGTGCAGAGGTTTGGGGCGGATGGAGAGGGCGATATTGGGGCCTGAGTAATTGGACTGGGTTTCCGCTGAGTAGAGACAAGCTTGCGATAACATGGAGCTGGTGATGAGAGCGATATTTTCCAAAACCGCCCAAAACGATCCAACAGCGTCCAATTCTGCATTATTGGCAATGGCCTGGCCATCCAAAGACTTTTCCCGCTCACTCATGGCTTGCCCCTGCCACCCTATCAAGTTGCACTCGCTCATGACAGCTGATCTCCGGTCGGCCGGTGCTTTGTCGGTTCTTGGAAGGCTGAAGCCCACGTGCCTTAAGCTCCGACTTGAAGGTCTTCAGTTCAAGGGCTAAGAAGTCATCGATCCCATGTATGGTTTCTACCCGATTCTACCCACTACCCCTTTGAACCCTAAACCTTCTAAACCCTAAGCCATAAATCCTAGAGTCCTAGACCTTGAATCCTAGATCATAAAGGCTAAGCTCTCAACCCGAAGCCCCCAGTAGTAGTCTAGGGAGTCAGACGGGAGCATCCACGTGGCCCTGAAAAGAGGCTGGGCACGTCCATGCGGCTGAAGCTGGCGACCTTCCCCGAGGAATACTCCATGAGGCCCACTATGTTTGGGCTTGAGTTTCGGAAGTTGGAGGTTTCTGCTCCGTTTATCGAAGGATGTTGAAACAAACTAACTTTTGTGCAGGCCTTCTGTTAGGATTGCTTGAGACAAGGTTCCGGGGTTTAGCGGTGGTTCTGAGAGTAAGGGCTTGCAGTTTAGGGGCATAGGCTCTTGGCGTCGAGGGCCAGGAGTGTTCCGCCGTGGTGCCAGGGCACGGGTTAGGTTCTGGCTCCAGGGGTAAGGTGGTGAGGATTTAAGGTTTAGGGTTAAGTGTGCAGGGGTTAGGGGTGTAAGCCCTAAACTCCGAAGATAGGGCTGAGGGTAAAAGCAGGGAAGACGGGTGCATAAGATTGTCATTCCTCTTCTAATCCCAGGTGCATGAAGCGCGGAGCATCGAAAGCTGAACTCCGGAACCCAACGCCGGACAGCGCAACACCCGAAACCCGAAGCTCTGAAATCCAGCCTGATGAAGTCCGACTCCCTAAAGTGCAAGCCTTAAAAGGGAGTATAGGGTTTATAGGGTTTGTGGATTTCGGGTTTAGGTGTATAGGGTTTAAGGTATATGAGGGCTAGGGTTTTCGGGTTTGGGATTGAGGTTCAACACTTAAAGCCTTGCAGGAACATCATCCTCATTGGCGAGCAGCCGTTGAAAGTCCAAGGCGGATAGTGCCAGGACACGGCAGTGTAAGTGTTGACCTGATCAAGCTAATTTGGGGTGAGGGTTTGGTTCGGAACAAACCTCTCAGAGTTAAGGCTTAGGGTTTTTGGCCACGGGATTTTGGGTCTTGAGTTTAATTAAGGCTTTGGGTTTTGGGTGTTCGGTCTGAGGTTTGGTTCTGGATTTAGGGTTTAGGGTCAATAACTTTCGAAACGGCTGTTTCCAATTGAAACTTAACGACTTGGCGTGCTCCCAACACACAGACCCTCAAGCACAAACCATCACCCTCAGGCCTAAACCCCAAACCGCAAATCCCTAAACCCTAAACCTAAGAGGGTGTTTTAAAAACCCTAAGCCCCAACCAACCGACCCTAAACCTAAGAGGGTTTTTTCAAAAACCCAAAAACCCCAAACCGCAAATCCCTAAACCCTAAACCTAAGAGGTTTTTTAAATACCCTAAGCCCCAAACCGGAAATCCCTAAACCCTACACCCTAAACCCTAAAGCCCAGCTCGGAAACCCGAAGCCCTGAAGCCTAAAGCCGAGATCCATTTTTATCGGCCTCAGCAGCCCAGTCACCTGAACATTCGCTTTTTTGTGGTTTATATAGGGATTCAGGGTCTAGGGTTTCAGGCTTTACACATTGTAGGCTTTTAGGGTTTGGGGCTTTGGCGTTCCAGGGTTCAGGGTTTGGGATTTTAGTGTTTGGGGCTTCAGGGTTCCCGGGAGTTTCAGAGACTCTGAACACGAGTGACTCAACGGTGTCGAGGCCTTGCGGGTTTCCCCAAGAGACCCCGACAGCGTGTCCATGGAAAGCTGGGGGTGAAGAGATATGAAAGTCTGGTGCGCAGAAGCACTAAGGACTAAAGCCATCATTGCCAGACCCTGAACCCTCAAGCCTTGTGGCCGATGTCCACACTTTGTTCATTGAGCTACTGCCGAAAACTCAAAACTCCGAGCTCTACCCTCTGCGGTCTCCGTTGCTTCGACTGCATCATGAGTCTGCTCAGACAACCCTGCCGACCTTGCACAGCGGCTTTCACAAATTCCAGGCCCGCTAAACCCTACATAAAAGACTTGACGTTTGCAGATATGTCATCACTTCAGGATCTCATCTAGCGAGATCGGGTTCGCGGAGCAGTAAAGGTCACTCGCTCCACATTGAGCTTGTTCTTGTTGTGCTCACGTGTGGCTTCCTGTGGTTGCTTCTGCTCTTTATACTGTTGGTTGGTGCCGTCGAAGCAGTAGTGCAACAGCAGCAGCAACAATAACAGTTTTTGACGCTGTATCGTATGCTAAATGCGACTGGATGGCGCAATTCTCCAGGACTCAAGAACGTGACAAAGACGATGTTCCACCGTGTGATGGAAAATCTCAACTTGGTTGTTTGTTCCTGTCCCTGGAAAAGCTTCAGTGCCAAATCGCTACAGCTTTTTTTCGAACCATCGCTCTCGAAAGCATTGCTTTTGTGAGGGCGTTGAGGTGGTAAGGTTTTCAGTGTGTTGAGCGAAAGGCATACATTGATACTGCTGTAAGTAGTTCATTCGTAGCCGGCGGTGACTCCTGTGCACCAACATGCCATTCGTCCGTACTACCAGTTACTACCGTGGTGCAATGATGGCATCAACAATGCCACAGCGACGGGATAAACAATATCAATGCAATAGTGACAGCATCAGCCAATCACAACGAACAGGACGTGACTGCCGAAGAGAACAGCTGGTGAGAAAGATGATGACATTGCCGGTACACCGAGTGGAATATTTCGAGCAAGCTTGAGCATGCGAAGTGTGTACAACATGGAAGATGGTCGTGATCTTACTCTCGTCGGTGAAGGACGCGTAGATTCGACTGCTCGTTTTAAGCTGTCGTTGAAGTTCCCCAAGGGGGCCGTGAGAACAGCACAGGCTGTGGCTTCTGCAACTGCGAGAAGGCCGAGGTACATGGACAGGACGGCATCCAATCACCCGACCTTGCAGAAGACGGAGCCTAGCTGCTAGATCAGTGATTATGTTCAGTTTCTGTCTGTAACATCGCAATGTCAAGAACATTCATGGCAGCTCAGGACGGCAACCAAGGCTGACACCGGCAAGTCCGCAAGCGATGGTGCTGCCTGTTCCTTTGCAACTCCGAGTCTCCCTCCAAGAAGCCTGATCCACTATGACGGGCAGCTGGGAGGGGGTGCAAAGCCGACCAGGAGAAGCAAGTCCTGTCCAAGCCGTAACCTGTCTCGGTGGAAGTGGAAAAACGGTTGTTTCCACATATATCCCTGATGAAAATTGTCCACTGACTGAACTACGTGGGGCGCACCGGAACGGTGAAGGATGGGATCCGCAGGACAAGCAGAGGACGCTCTCTGGAGACGGAGGGATCCCTGCCTGGCCCAGAGGACTGCTGACTTGCGGGCCGATGGTAGTGTACAACTTCCCGTGAAGTTTGCGAACAGGATAGAGATTACCAGTTTAAAGTTGGCATACCTGATTCGGGCGACCGTTCGGTCCTTTGCAAAGAAGGACCAGAAACAGCCTGCATCCCGGGTTCCGCAAGGAGCTTGGGCAAAGCAGCAGGCTCTCGGTAGTCGGCCTGGTTTTTCAGCACCCAGCTAGCCGAGCCAGCTCGAAAAGGAGTTTCGCAGCCCAAACCAGAACCGTAAACACTTAAGGTTTGTATAGGAAGTTATAGGGCTTATGGGGATGAGCTGACGACGTTTCCGCGTGGACTCCTTGGCTCCTTAAGTGGAGGCCCCAGCACACTCATGCCCAGAAAGCCTTTGGCCTACGAATCAGAGATTAGGGTTAGGGCTCGGGTTGAGTGCTTCTAGGGTTGAGACTGCATGGGCTGGGACAAGGGTTTTAGTTTAGGGCTTGGGGTGATATCTCAGTGGCTTTGGACACCGTTACTGCTCGCTGTTGTTGTGAGTCGTAATTGCTATGAGCGTTCTGGATTCTGCAGTTCTGGCTTCAACCGAACCTAGGTTCCCGAAACTAGGCCGGGCCATCCAACCGTGTGTAAGCCATGACCACTCTACTGGGGCACCTTATACGCTAAACCCTAAACCTCTTTGGGTTTGGCGATCTGTGTCCGGTTGAAGGTTTACAGGACCTAGGCTCCGGAAGCCTGGAATGGTCAGTTTTGGCGCAAGTTGAGTCGCATGACTCGAACATCTTGCACCGATGAGGTACAGCCGCACAGCCTCGAAACTCAAACTGTTGCAAGGCCAACGCCTCTGAGCAGATCGAGACAAGCTAGATCCTAGAAGCGGGAGTTCGAAGCCCTAGAGCCAACTGCATAAAACCAAAGCCCCTGAACCCGACAACCCTGGTGTTTTCACCTGTGAGTCTTAAACTCCGAACCCTACACCTGAAAGCCTAACCCCAGGACCACCTGCAATGGACTTAGACTAAAGCCCAAAACCACATAACATAGGGGGTATGAAGAAGTAACAACACAATCCTCTCATAGTCCCTGTGCATAACTGTACGTATAGTTGTACCATAAGATACCCTGCAACCCTAGTCTACGACTTAAAGGCCCTGTATGCCCGTACCTCCTCAACCCAACACAGCGAGCCGGCCGCAAGCCATGGGCCGCCAGAAAGGTGCTTCTTTGTCGGCTTACGGGTTGAAGCGGATCCACCTTTCGGGTATAGGCATAGGGTTCCGGGTTTTGTCTAAAGCTTCTTACACTTCTTAAAACTGAAACTTTCATGGAGCAGCTGGCTCTAGGGTCTGGCCAGGAGTCATCTTGGGGGTCCCTTCTACTAATGATTAGGCAGCCCTCAAGGAGCAGCCAGCTCGTTGATGCGTAACGAGTTGCTCACATATATGCAGCTACATCTACATATGTACGTATATGTATATATGTATTTATGTATATATGTGCACATGTATATATGTTTATATGTTCATATGCATACATGTATGTCTCTATATATATATATATATATATATATTTGTCTATAGTTGTATGTATATATACACGTATATATGTATATCTCCATTGGCATTGAGGTCTGAGGTGAATTATAGCACAGCCAGCCCACCTGGAACACCTGGAAGCCAAGATGTAAGAAGCAGACATTTGTTTGATAGTTTGGGAACAACAAGCTCATCTTTCTGAGGTATTTTGAGGTATGCTGTGATAAGTCTGCAGTAAGACTGATAAGTAGGGTTGTGCTGCGCTTCTAAGCACGGACATGCTGAGTCCAAAGTACCGGATCACTTACGTTTGGTCCCAGAATCCCCAAAGAACCTAATCAAAAACGAAACCACCAACTTTGCCACAGCTGTCTCAGGCAAGTCGAAGCCGGCCAGAGCGACACAGAAGCGGGAGCTTGAGCCGCAGGCCTTCTTGGCATCCTGGCCCATCTTTGATTTAGGGTCCCTGATGCAGAAGTGGCCCGAGTTTTAGCAAACTGGTAAACCTTAATGTTTACCTCTGATAACCAGTCGTCGTTTTGCCTATGGACCATGGAGTTCTAAGGTAGCTTCTTACATTCGTTTCGAACTTGGGGGTTGTTTTGAGGCGGGGGTCGGTTTGGCTCAGTCTCCGACAGACCCAGTGTCAACTGTTCTCCGAAGCCCGAAGGGTGTAGCAAGTAGGGCTTTAGGGCTTTAGGTGGAGGTTTGGGTTTTAGGGTTAAGGGGTTTAGGGGGGTTTAGGTAGGGATTGTAGGCCCAACTGCCTGAAAGCCTTTGTCCATTTGCAATCAAAGTGCGGCAGCGCGCTTCAGCATGAACCCTGCAACCTAACCCCAAACGCCCTGGTATCAACCACCTGTCACATTGCCGAGGCCTGTGCTCATGGGATCAACCTTGAGAAGTGCCGGCCACTTCTTTGCAATCTTTGGGATCTTCTGTGTATCTTGGTTTAGGGGTTTAGAGCCCTGAAGGATTCTACAAAGGGTCCAGGGTCTTTGTGGTTCAAGGGGATTGACTTTTGGGATTCAGGATTTGGGTCTGTGGTAAAGGCTTCAGGAGTTCGGGTTTGGGGGGTGCGTAGTTCACAACGATTCAAGGCGAAGGATCCCTCCAGGGTTTAGGGCCTAGGGTTGTGACAAGGGTTTAGGGTCTAGGGCTAGAGGATGAAAAACGTTGGAGTTTCCGGGTGAAGGCAGTAGCCCTAGATCCTAAACCCCTAACCCCCACAGCCCAATGACCAAATCCCAAAGTCACCAAGAATCTTCGGCCTTTGCTTAAACGGCAAACCGACAGTCCGGATCCCAACATGTGAGGCTCCATGGGCCCATCCCGGAGCATCCCGAGTGCTACGAGCGGGTGGAGGTCGGGTTGAGAGGTTCGAGTTCAGGGTTTAGGGGTTCGGGGTTTCGCTTCGGGCTTGGTGGTCAGGCGGGCTAGGGTTTGAGGCCTAGGGTTTGGAATGCGATGCCTAATGTTTTCAGGTTTTGAAGCGGGGACAGAACTATGAAGCACTGTAGAATTATAAGTAGTGATCGCACATGGAGTTTGCAATTATGGGTTCTTGAGAATAGTTTGTTCGGAACCAACATTTGAACTTCGTTTGGCCCACCGCAATTCACATGGCCTCACTAGCACTCACCAATAGTCACTGGCACTTATTTGGGCTCAATAGCGCTCACCAGTCCCTACTAGTGCTCACTAGCCCTCAGCAGCAGAACAAACGGCTTGCCCCGGTGTGCTCTGTCGTCCTTACTAGGCCTTAGCAGGGCAATCCTCACGAACAAAGGAAACTACTAAGGCTTGCAAGGCTCTACCAAGGCTTGCTAAAGCTTGGCAGGCCTGGCTATCCAATCCACATCTTCTGCAGGCAAACTCTATTTACCGTGGGCCACGTTAAAGCATGGTTCATTTTAGGTAAAGAAGAGATACACACCGATCCCTCGAGTCTCTGAGATCTCTGGTAGTTCACGACGCTTGGTCGCCTCTCGTGTAACTGCAGCAGTCAGCCAGTTTTGCATTCTTAAGTATGGAATAGAGCAACATGTAGACACCAAAACAAGAAGTTTCATGCCAGTACCTACAAGTGTAAGACTCTTAGCAATTCAACTAGCATCTTTCCTAACGGATAGCGGTATAGCTTTGTTCGGCAATTGTACCTCCCCACTCTATGCCTCGACAAGAAACCAAAGGCGTAAATCCTGAACCCCAAAAGCCCTAAACCCTAGTCCGCATTCCAGCAGACCACCAGCTGTGTGCTCGTAGCGTCTGAATCACACTGAAAACAAAAACAGCGATACGCACCCCCAAGTCCTCAGAACCCTGAGCCCTAAACCGTAAACCTGAACCCCAAAACCGGAAAAAGCCCTAAGCCTCGTTAGGCTTGCGCCGAGCGCCTCCGGGCGAACGCAGCTGTCTGGCCACTCCTTCGGAGTCTTAGTGGAACATTACACTTCGGGGCTTCATCTAAGGGTTCCTGTCAGGGTACCTAGAAGGGTACCACAGCCTATAAGGTTTGGAGTGTGCTGCCTAGCGTTCAGGTTCCTTCAAGGCTTATTTTCAGGGTTCTAAAGGGTCGTGGAATTGCGATTCGTTCAGTACGTCAGCATCCGACCTCAACTCTACAAGAGACAAATCCCTGGTCTCGAAATTGAAGGCCCTACACCCTTAAACCCCCAAGCCCGTAACTTCAAGCCTCCAGACTCTTTAATGTTTATGGCTTCAGGGGTTTGGCCCGTTCGGCAGTGTTGCAGTTTAAGGTTTGAAGGAGGGACCAAAAGACGTGAGTGACGAAGGGCAGCCACTGATGCCGTGCTCAGGAACCTCGATCCTCGGCGGGCCACGGATGCTGAAATTCTCCTCTGCCACGAGGTGCGAGCTGTGTTTTTCTGGTCGGCTCAGGCCAAAACTCTGGGATGAAGGCTGAAACCAACCCTGATAGCAGGTCACCCTAGACCCTGAACCCTAGCTGGTTTGTAATATCGCAGCTACCGACTGCGATTCTGCCAGTCATCACCTGAGACTGAGGCATCAGCAGTCAAAACATGAAGTCCGCAACTTTCCTTTGTTTTAGCGGGCTGGGATTTGCCCTAAACCCCCTTCAGCTTTCAAGCCTCCGCCGGAGGACATGGCCGTCTCAATAATTGGTGCGATCATAGGAACTCGTTAAATTCTGTAGCTTCTACCTGCCTACCTACCGTCATCTATATATTACATACCAGAGATGATACTCCTTGA